TAAAACATGGACTCGATTAGTAAAACATGGACTCGATTAGTAAAACATGGACTCGATTAGTAAAACATGGACTTTATTAGTAAAACATGGACTCGATTAGTAAAACATGGACTCGATTAGTAAAACAATCCTAAATGTAGTTCTTTGTCTGTTTTTTTTTGTAAATTGTAATTTTAATAACATCAACTTTAGTGCATAAGAGGGCATGTAGTAAAACATGGACTGGATTCATTACTAAAACATGGACTGGACCCGATTAGGGGCCGATCATTTAACTTTTGAGGGGGGGGGGGGTAATCGTTACGTGCAAGATTTTTATTTATTGTACGTATTGCACCATGTACGAGTTTTTTTGCCACACTTTCTTTCGCAGCATTTTTTTTCAATAGCTTATACTATTTAGATTCTTTAATTATAGTTAACGTGGAGTTTTCCGCTTCATGCATTGCTCTTAATAATACATATTGCTATGAGGTATAACATTTGGTTCAGGGCCTTTTTTAAGGATGTTTAACTGGAGAGGATATAATTAGCGGGGGACCTGGAGAAGTTCCAGTCGGCAAGTCTGTATCCAGGGCCGTAGGGGGGGGTGTAGGCCAAAAATTTCCGAATGACGAAAATAATTTCCGAATATATCATGGCATAGTAAGCCACGAAGATGTTTGCTATTCGGAAAATGAAGACGCAATTTGCAAACAAAAATACGCATATTTTACGCACAGACATATTCCAGAAGCAGTGCGGTAGGGAGCTTTTGTTTATTGGGGGCAGAAAACGAGGGCCGGAGGGCCGAGGAAATTTTTAAATTTCAAAATGCCATTTCATATCGAAATGTCTCTGAAATGCCATTTGCTGGACTTTGGGTAAGTTTTGACAGAATGCTGATGGTCAGAAAAAAGCGTTTTTAAGCGTCGAAATTTAAAAATAGTGACAATACAATTTTATAATATTTTCTCTGTTTAACAACTAAAATTTTCAGTCTACTATTATTGCCATAATTTTCCGAATGGCCAACCCGATTTTCTGAATATGTTGATTCTAAAAACGTTGGGGGGTTAACCACCCCCCCCCCCAATACCCCCTCCTCGCTACAGCCCTGTCTGTATCACTGCAGCTACCTACAGCATATATATATGCATGGTTTAACTAATAAGTATACGTCATAGGCAGCAGCCCGGGGCAAATTTTCTTTAGGCCCCCCCCCCGTCGCCAAAAAATTTTCGGTCAGTGTACCATTTTAGGGGTAAAAATTTTTTTTCCGGAGTACAAAATTTTTCCGGACGAGTACGTTGCAATTGCTTTCGAGGGACTTTATCGCATTTTTTTATGCCAAAATTCGGTAATTAGCCCAAAAAACAGATCTCTTGTCCTTTGCGCGGAAATATTTAACACACAAAAAAGGCTGGGGCCCAGCAAAAAATTTTCAGGGGCCCCCAGCCACTCGGGGCCCGGGGCAATTCCCCCCCCCCGCTGCCCCCCCTCTCTGCGGCCTTGAGCTCAGGCCATGCTTAACTAGGACTCTGAGAAAACTGAGTCGACCACCGAAGGTGCGAGCCTCTAGAGGGGTCTGATGGCATGCCCCCTTGAAGCTCAGATTTTTGAAGCTCAGATAAACTATTTGGCCACTCCAAATTAGACTTTAGTTTCCCGTCCTCCGCCCGCGTCTCCTAGAACTGGCCGCATGATTTGTCCATTATTGCTAACTTGTTTCCATTATTTGACTTTTGTGACAAACAATTACAAAAAACCACAGTTTTCAAATAATCTATCGTTCAAGAAATACATATTTATGATACAACACGTAAAAATCGAAATAAAATTATTGAAATTTTTATCAAAGAGCGTGAATTTTTTCCCGTTTTCACTACGAACTGCTGAGCTACACACTTCCGTTACAAGTTTTGATTTTTGAACGTCAAAACCGATAAGGCTAATATCCAACCTCGTTTAAAGACCCTAACGAGGTTTGCTAATATTCTGGCTTTCATTTCTGCATAGAAAAGTCTAAAACATTGCGTAGAAACGTGGCTGAGTGGATATTTAAAACGTATCTATATCATGAAATAATGGGCCCTGTTTCATCTTTGAGACACCATAATGGATAATGGAAATGGACCGCCCGCCCGCGTGTAATTTGAAATAAGGGCCGGACGGGAAACTGAAGTCTAATTTGGAGTGGCCTTTCCAGCATTTTGAGGAGTTTTCCAACAAGAAATTAATCTTACACTAGTCCCTGAAAATCAAACCAGCTGATCTTCTTGGACTGGTCAAATCCATCCCTGCACCAAATACCCCAGTGGGGCAGGATATTTTTCCCCAGTTTGTTAGTGCAGGTATTATTTTTTTTGTTCAGAATAGCCTTGCAGGAATTTTTTTTTCAAAATCACCCCCCTCCCCCCCTCAAAAGTTAAATGATCGGCCCCTTAGTAAAACATGGACTCTTGGTAGGCATGATGTGCTAATTCCACTGAATGATTCAGACCAATTTTTTCCTGAAACATTTAAACATTTTTTCATTGTGTTATATTTTAAGCTGCCGTATTTCTTGAGACCCCTCTTGAGTCTGAGGGGCAAGATATTTTTGAAAGTGTCGCGTATCGATTTATTCCACGAACTTCCTAATTATGTACGTTTCTCTGATGACCCCATCTCCCCCCCCCCCACCTTACAAACCTAACACGAAATTGAATAGGGGTCGGTTGTATCAAAGGCGTTTGGCTTAAAGGGTGTATAGGCAAAAAATTAAAAACATTCCTTCTCAATATACATATATTGTAAGTACTTGAACTTAATTTTTATCAACTAAATGAGTAGTTTTATCCATTGTAACCATTGTTATTATGTTTAGACAGAAAAGAAAAGTTTTGTAATCAATAGTTCATAGATTTGTTTCATTTATACAACCGATCCCAGATCTATTTATCGGCCGTTGTTCGCACGCAAACAAATATGTAAATTGGCAAACGGTTGCCGGTGGTCAGAATATCTGACACCATCAATCCAAATTTCGTAAATTAGTATTGCAGGAAACATGCCGATTGTCGGAGAATCTTTTTATCGAGTATATATTTATAACCACGTCCAAATTACGTTTCTCCTGGGATAAATCGATGTGGACGTGTTAAATAGCAAAGGTGTTTCTGTTTACATTAAAATCAAGAAATCATCTATATCTATATAGCATTACCTAGCTGTCGGTAAATAATTTGGTATTTATTCCACATTTACTTTGTCGTGAATTGCCTCCTATATTCACAACAACTCACTAAAAGTAGAGATTTCAAACGCTTTTATGAAAAATATATTTATTCTCGCCCGGCCCCGTCTCAACACAATCACACAAAGTTCTTGCAATGTACAAACCGCATGCTTTTTGAGTGACACTTGCGCATTAATTAACTTCAGGTATGCCATAAACTGTTAAATATTAAATATTGACAATCTCCAACATACTTAAATGGTCGATGATTCTTGAAACTTTACGTTAAATATCGAAGAGATCTCTTGTACACTAAAGTTGATGTTATTAAAATTACAATTTACAAAAAAAAACAGACAAGGAACTATGTTTTACTAATCGAGTCCATGTTTTACTAATCGAGTCCATGTTTTACTAATCGAGTCCATGTTTTACTAATAAAGTCCATGTTTTACTAATCGAGTCCATGTTTTACTAATAGAGTCCATGTTTTACTAATCGAGTCCATGTTTTACTAATAGAGTCCATGTTTTACTAATCGAGTCCATGTTTTACTAATCGAGTCCATGTTTTACTAATAAAGTCCATGTTTTACTAATCGAGTCCATGTTTTACTAATCGAGTCCATGTTTTACTAATCGAGTCCATGTTTTACTAATCGAGTCCATGTTTTACTAATAGAGTCCATGTTTTACTAATAGAGTCCATGTTTTACTAATCGGGTCCAGTCCATGTTTTACTAATGAGTCCAGTCCATGTTTTACTACATGCCAATTTCAATGCTAAAACAACTCGAAAAAAATGCACGGTGCACGCTTAATTGCAAATGGCGGTATAAAAGTTTATTAAGGAAGTCTGAAAATATTTACGTGTATTAATAAGGCAATTACAAACTCACAATATCCCTTCAGGTTGTGACTGATGAGAAATTATATCTTACATTCTTTCTTATGCATTTCTTTGACATATAAAAAAACTGAAGAAACGCTCTTACGTCCCTCAGTAAGTCAGTTTATACGAATTCTATGTACCCACGAGGTCATATTTTATACTCGTTTGAGTTATTTCTATTAATGAAAAATCCTTTTTATTTTTGGGTTTTGTCTCCCATAGCAATCTGCTTTTTGTGCTTTTCTAACCATGTGAAAAGTTCACTCATATTAACTGATGATGTTGGTGAAACAACAATTTCTTTAAAATTGTGATATCTGCCTTTCTTTGTGTTGAATGGTTGTAATTTTCGTAGATCCTGAAACATCATGACTTCTTCATTACTGGTTTCCTTGTGTGTATGCGATTGAGATGCTGGTTTGATATTGCTGACTTCATTCACTCTCTTCACTATTTGATCGACACCTGCAGCAGCTTTAGATGCCCTCATCATTGCTTGAGGAGTCTTGTTGGCCCCCATTCCCTTGACAATATCTTTGCTTACACGATTACATATCTCTTGCGCCATATCACATGCTATATTTTTCCCTTCTCCACCATTCCAATTTACAAATCTGCCCCATTTCAAGCGATGAGCCATTTCTTCAGAGCACAGAGACTTGATTTGAGCAATCCATGTGAACATCTCCACAGAATAGTTTTTAAATGAGTTAGATGACTTAAAGTAGATTAATAGCCTTTTCTTATTGATCATGCTTCTTTCTCCATCACCCTCTTTACACGTATCGATCAACTGCATGAGGAAAACCACAAGCTCAATAACATTGAGCCCATATGCCCTGTCAAAAAATATATAGAGAATAATACATGGGTGTGCAGAAATACCAGATTTATTTTGAGTGTTAAACATGATATACAGGACAGTCTTTGAAAAGCGATAATTTTTAAGGACAGTCTTTGAAAAGTGATAATTTTTACAGTAAAGCGATGATTGAAAAGCATAATTTTATCATGAATAATCTCACATGTGAGATTGTCACTTTTATCTGTGCTAAAAATCTCTATAAAGCATTATACTTTATAAGAAAAGTCAATTATGAATGGGTATTCCTAAAATATTATTTTTCAGCATGCTACCTACCTTACTTTGTCCGATTCAAAAATTTCTTGCTCTCCTTTTGGCAAAGCATATTCATTTACAAATTCCCCAACAACTTCCTGAAAATATTCCATCTTCTTTTCATTTTCCTGGCTGTGGATATCTGCTGGAGGTACATGTTTGGTTGGGCTTTCTTCTAAATTCCCCATTCCCCAAAATTCCATTGCTGCTTCCAAAAGGTATGCTTGACCCACCTGAAGTAGCAATTGCTCACATCCTTCATAAGAATCAGTAACTTTCTTCGGAGTTACATTACGGTGATTGAATTTTTCACGAAAGAACTTTAAGGTGCCAACTTCCCTGGTCGATTCTGCCTTGTATAGGAGGTTGTATACAAACTAGGATATTAAGCAAATACATTTATATCTTAAAACTTCAAAGGCAACATTGTGTGTTTGAAGTTATTTGGCATATTTATTAATTTAAATTTTATTTCTCTTTTACCTGAACATAGGCCATCTTTGTGTGGAACAGCTCGGCAACAAACGGACAACAATGATCAAAACGATGTTTTGCAGTATTGGCACCAGCTCTTAAATCTTTTGCTCCTGCAAACCTCACCCTGGTCATCTGGTCTCCCCCAAATGGTACAGATATCTTCTTCATATAATCATTCTCGTCATCTTTGTTGAAATGCGCCCTTGCCTGATCTGCTGATGCTGACTGTCTGCCAATTATTGTAGGTGTTTTGCTATTGGTATCCTCAACTGGTTTTTTAATGACATCGGCTTTAACAAAGATGTTTTCCAAATGCTGTTCATAACCATCAAGGATATCAACTACATCTTCATACTTTTTTTTATCTTTCATCATCATTGGTAAAGGAACAATGATTGATTTTTTTGACATTTTTTTCTTGTACGGATGTGCAATATGATTGGGAATGACATGTTTCAAAAACGACAAGTGTGGTATGTTGTGAAGCAGAACTCTTCCAACCAACACTTTTATATCATCTCTCAACTTGTTGGCCTCGTTGCTGTCAAGAAGGAAAGCTGTGTTATGGAGGGAAGATATCTTAACTTGTGGGGACACATTTGACAGATTCTCTGATGGTACACGCTCAACAATAAGATTAGAAGCAAAGTAGTGCAAATCAGTGTTTTGATTTGTTGAAAGCATATCGTGTGCATGTATTTTCATGTCCCAGTTGTCACCAGTGCCTTGAATTTTCTTCCCGCATCTAACTTCTTCAACCAGTTTGTCTGAAAAGTGCCCACCAATGAGGTCAAGCATGTTCATTTTGCTGGTGTGTGACAGGGAAAATCCCATTTTCTGACATTGAACATAAAGCTGGAAATGAAAAAATGATTTTTATAACATACCATATTCTCTTTATAGCCCCCTCCCCCCCCCCCATAACAGCCAGTTTAATTAATCAAAGTAATTTGTATTTTATTTTTGGGTCCATTAATTAATATCCAATTTCATATGGGATATATTGCATTTTACATGGCATACACTATGATAACACGTTATAAGACAATTTTTAAACATGAATTTTGTTCAGTGCTCCTCACGAATAAGACCCCTCGAAAGACCTGAAAAAATATGCCCCCTGGGGTTTTAATAAAGAGAAAATGGTAAACATATATATACATGGGCGTAGCCCCCCCCCCCCCAGTTTGTTGGGCAGTCGGGCAATATTCGCTGAACAGTCGGGCAATTTTGGTTTATTATAAAAATAAATGGGACAAATTCTGTAAATTTTGTGGTCAATTTTGTGATGTTTCGAAAATTTTTGTCAGGTTCCGGAAATTTTTGGTATGTCCGGAAAAAATTTTTGACCCCTAAGATGGTACACTGACCGAAATTTTTTTGGCGATTTTTTTGGAGGTCGCCAGAATAAATTCCGGAAAAAATTTTTTCGGTACTTGTCGGGCAAAATCCGGAAAAGTCGGGCAAATTTTTTTCCGCCCCCCTAAACTTTTCCTTCCGGTACGCCCATGTATATATACATATTACATATACTGTATATATTAAAAGAATTTATCAGCTAAACCATAATAAATTGATGTATTGTGCCAATATATTGTTACCTGTTTTTTAGCACCCCCATTGGTCATCAAAACTGTGTTAATTCGCTGTACCAAACTCAGTTCATGGTTTCTTGTCTGCATCAAAATTGCATAGCACATACCAATACGTGGACCCACATCTTTCACTTGCTCCTTCGAACGTCCCATGGCTACTAACAAAGCATTGAGCAAAACTGGACAACGATCCAACATTTCTGTAACTAGTTCATCCCAGCTAAAATTGTTCATATTTGAGAAGTCCTTCATTCTAAGCTTAGATGGTGATTTCTTTCGGCAAAGTTCAGAACAATCGCGATCAATTTGCTTAATCCATTCTTCCTGTTTGGTTCCAAATTCTTCCTTTAGGAAAATGATATGTTACAATTTGGTTAAACATGTAACACCGATCAAATAACACTTATCTAGTGACTTAACATTGGCTTAAAAAAAATCTGAAGAACTACAAGAAGAATAGTACCCTCTTTAGTCAATCTTAAAATTCTGCATAAATATCTGGGTTAAATACCCCGTTATAAATCGTTCTCTTTTAATTTTTCTATTTAAATCCATCCCGGGTATATATATAGGGTATACAATATACATACTCTAGGTATACACCATATATCTCTTTAAAATGCCCACTTCGGAAAGAATGAGCCCCCCGCCCCCCTCCGGCTTAATAGATAGAGTACGGTAATTTAGATGGTGCGAAAATAAAAGTTTAGAAAGGCAATACCTTATCTGAAATAGTATTAATTTCATCGTTCTCATCAGAGTCGCAGATGTTCGCCCTCTTTCCCGAAACTTGTGGTGAAAAATTTAGACATCGCTTGGATGAACCTCTCTCTCTTACACTTTCAAGTACCGACTTTGATGTACTGATGAAGTCATTAAAACTATTCAACTTTCTCTCACAAATTCTGCAAATTCGCAAACTTCCTTCCCCACAACATACGTTCACGTTCAACGCGACTTTAATTTTTGATACTAAATCTTTTCGTTTTCCAACGCCACTAAAAACATTCGTAAATCTGTCCGAATTATTCGAACTGCCACAAAAACCGCAATGATCCACGTTTTTCCACTTAAAATATTCCTTTCTTGGAGTTTCTTTCGAAGCCATTTGCGCTGTAAGATATCTTAATAACCACGTTGTCGTTGTTTAAACAATAATACATAGCATTAATTTTGTATGCGTCATTTACAAAAATAGTACGGAAATTATTCAAATTACCAAAAAAGTATGACGTTTCTAAAAAAAGCGATGATTCACCTCATATCAATATATACATGTTAAATTTAAACCGCGCCCATACTCTTACCGGGACAACATACGCGGTTGCTTTTACGCCATGATTACGCTAAACTCTTTTTTCCACAGTATTCGTTACGCATTAGATACTCTTCATTACGAAGGAATTTTTCTTAAGGTAAAACAGTATATAGCTCTGGATTCTGTCGTGCAAGGACATGATACAATTGCTGTACTACCAACTGGTTATGGAAAATCTATAATATTCCATTTACTTCCCTTCATTTGTGATCATATAAACATCCGTAAATACGCAGGATCATCGTCGATAACGCTGTGCTTGTAATCTCACCATTAAATTCTCTGATCAATGATCAAATAACTATATTACAAAATCGTGGAGTAGACGCTGTAGTTCTAAATACTTCATTAGTAGGTGATGCAGAGTTGCGAGGAAATACAACAGAAAACGATGGAGATGAAGAGCATGTAATCAATAAATCGAAATTTGGGATAGATACAGCGTCACAGGAACGCTTGGAGAAACGCAAGTTTAATTTGGTTTACGCGCACCCAGAGTCATTTATATCGTGTAAAGAAGGTAGACAATTGCTCATGAGCTCTACTTTCCAAGAAAAGATTTCCACGATAGTAATTGACGAAGCACACCTTGTTGCGGAATGGGGAAGGGAGTTTCGAAAGGATTATGGAAAGCTTTCACAACTGACATCACTATTTCCATATTCCCCAGTTCTACTGCTTACAGCAACAGCTCCGAATCAAACGCGAGAAGCATTGATTGCCAACTTAAGTTTGAAAGATCCTCGTATAATTATAGCAAATTTGAATAGAAAAAACATTTATATCGAAAAATCAAAACGTTTAGCGTCTTCTTTAGGAGAAGAGAGCTATCATTCCATACTATTATCCATCGCGAAAGATTTAAAGCAACAACTGGTCAACTATCCACTTACTATAATCTACAACCCCTTGAAATGGTGTGGTTATGCCTATAAATTATTCTTAGACGTGATAGGAGAAGAAAGCTTTCATCCGAAACGTATTGCCGAGCCTAAAAATTGCCTATTTGCCCAATACCATTCTCCTCAAACAGATGAAAGAAAACGGGAAATACTTTCGCAGTTACAAGGTTCGGACAAATCGAAAGTCCCAAGAGTTGTTTTTGCTACAGTTGCAATTGGAATGGGGGTACATATCTCCGACGTGAGACAAGTTATTCACATTGGACCTCCTCGTACTCTTGAGGCATATTACCAAGAGATCGGACGCGCAGGTAGAGACGGTGAACCAGCTCGCGCTACTTTATATTACAACGGACACGACATTGCATCAAATAAACCAGGAATGACTGATGAAATGCGTGATTTCTGTCATGAGGAAACCGTCTGTTTGCGTGATATTATATTGAAGCACTTGGGGTCTCCAATGATGACAACGTTTTCATGTGTAAAACATTGTTGTTGCACTAATTGTTCTAAACAGTGCCAATGCACCTCATGTAAGAGCACTCAGCCGAAAATTGCAATGCAAGAGCAAGCAGTGCCGCAGTTGGAGGCGAGAAAAGCTCAACGACAACTTTCAAATGGGCAACGTGACACCATAAACTTGGTGATGAGAGAATATAGGATGAAGTTAGCACAAGTTGGATACTGCATTAATGGGATTGATGCCAGCACTGGAGTAACCTTGGAACTCATTGATGCAATTGTGGAAAATTGTGAGTTTCTCACATCATCATCAGATCTATTTAGTTCGTATGAAATATGGGATATCAAACACGCAGAAGATTTATTTGCAATAATAGTTAATATTTGTGGGCAATAATTGGCTATAATTTACTTGTCTCAATTATTAGATGTTTATATAAGGACAGTTGATAGAGGGAGATGGTTAGTGGTTAGGGTCACAGTTGGTCTGAATTTTTTCATATTACTAGAATACATTGGTATTGAAGGAACTAGATTCTGTTCCGAAATATCACTTACTCGAACTGTCCTGACCGCGTAGCTCAGTTGGAAGAGCATTGGGCTAGTATTCCAAAGGTCGTAGGTTCGAATCCCACCGTGGCCAGGCATATTTTTCAAGCTCGCCCAGTGTGGATATACACTCAGGGTAACACCACAAATATCATATTCACCTGAGTACACTACATACACCAACACAGAAAAATTCATTTGGGACAGTGTTATTATTGAAGTCATTTATATTACATCAGTCTGTTGATTTATACCAGGTACATGGTCAATGTTTTTTTTTTATTCTCTTATGAAAATACTTTAAGTAAATCTTCCCCTAGTACATAAGGCCATCTCCCTTTTCTCACCCACCTCTCCCACCCATTATTAATGACTGGTCCATTATATTGCATGGTGAAAGAGAATGGTGAAAGAGAAACACAATACACATACTACAATTATACAGGTGTCCCCAAAAAACCAAAAACTATTGAAATCACCAATAACAATTTAATTGTTAGAATTTGAATGCCTAGCACTCTGTTGGTTCCCATGAGTGCATAAATGATTGACATAAGTAAATTTTAAGCATAAAGAAACTGTTCTTTAAATTTGCTTTAAATTCCCAAGCACAGAAAATCGTGCACTTTACAAGGAGATGTTCTTAACTATGATTCTAATACATGCATCTTGTCAATATTTTATGCATCATTACGTTCAGCTTTTTGGTAAAGCATTCAAATTTTGACAATAAGTGATTTCAATAGTTTTCGGGTTTTTTGGGACACCCTGTATAATAAAATTACAAGTATAATATAATTAATTAGATTAGCTATTTAAGTGTAGTTTTAAAAAGTTTAGGTAAGATTTTAGGAGGATTATCATTCCAATGACATAATTAAGTAATCATTCTTACTATTGTTTAGGCCATATAAAAAAAATAGTTGGTTAGCGTCCTTAGCTTTTGCCAAAAAGTGGGCGGGCGGGCGCTTTTTTTTTTAATTTTTACTAATTTTTAACGCCTTGGTTTTACTCACTATTAGGTCCGAAACTGGATTTTCTTGCGCAGTACAGATATTTTTTTATATATTTCAAGATATAATTCATACCGTCATTTTCGCACGCAATTTCGCAAATTATTAACACAATTGACTACAGTCAACAGAAATACTACATATATTAGAGCCCGTTGATCAATAAAAATCGGGGTTTTTTAAAATAAAAAATAAAAAAAAATCCTGAGCGGGGCCTTTTTTGTAGGCGGGCGGGGACGCTAACCAACTATTTTTTTTTATGTGGCCTTATGGCTGAATAGAAAACAGTTTCATTGTCTACATACATTCAAATAAACTACTGAAATGGGCAATTTGTCTGCACAATGTATTATGTTTATTCAAGATTAGACTGACAACAGTACATATAGATCACGTTTAAATATAGCAATTACAGTATATATTTACATCAGATATTAATTCAAAATATTAATAATCAGCTGAAAATCGGTGATAAAAGTCGATATTTTTCTCATAAAATAACCTCATGACTGTAACTTTTTGTAAATTTTCATATCATAGTTTATCACAACGAATAATGAGTTCTTATGATAATGATGGCAGTAATTTTTGTGATATATTTCGTACTCGGTACTTCTAAAGAAAGAGCAATGGTTCCATATATTAATTTGTATATAAAATATTAAATATCATAGGATTGTATCAAATATATTGATTAAAAAAATTAGTCAGTTTGGTTACCCACCTAATTAAATTATATTCGATGTATATCAGTTCACCTTGAAGATTCATTGAAAACAAAAGAATTCATCTTGTCCTCGCAGGGCGCTCATCACTGGCGCTCATTGATCGACGCCATGTTTTTTTAAAATAATTATAGTTTTGTCAGACACTCCCCCCGTTCGAATCGCCTCGTGTTTAAAAATATTGCTATATAGTTCAGTGTTTGAGACCAGCATTTACCAGGGCCTTCGCCCTCAGCAGGAGGCCCTGGGTACGAGGTTGTTGTACTGCCTCAGCACTGAAATATTTTTGACAACGATAATGCGCGAATCAAATCGAAACCTTGACATCCCCCCCCCGGGCATACCCCCGGGAATTTGGATTTTGACGTTTTGGTCAGGTCAAATTCCCTACATATATTTGTAATTCCCGTTCAAATACACCACGTATTGGGAAAAATTGGAGTTCAAATACCCCACCCCATGTACGAATTGGAAGCTACAGCATTTCGCAATTTTGGAATTTCAAAGTTTTTCTTTCCTTCAAAAACTCTCTTCAATCGTTCAAAGCCGTTTTCTTGTAGCCAACCAATCTCGTTCCCAGAGTATGCCTGTTCGCGGGTTAGGTTGTGGCACAACCTAACCCGCGAACAGGCATACTCTGGGAACGAGATTGGTAGCCAACCAAGGACAAAGTTAATTCCTTTGCACTTGAAGACCTTGAACTCATCCATTAATTATTGACGCCATTTTGGATTCTGCACACGTTCTTGAATATTTTCCTTGTTCAACCTGATTCTTGAATATTTTCCTTGTTCAACTAGTAGAACCGAACGTACAAGTGCATCACAAGACTAAGCGAGAGTTTTGTGTAGAAATGCTCTGTTTACGGGAAGTTATTTTGCATTCGCAAGCGTCAACAAAACTGCGGCATCAAGTTCACAGTTTGATTATCATAGCGATAGATAAAAGCTTTGAAAATTCAATTGAAAACATTTTAAACCACCCGTATTTGTATAGAATATATGTTAGTTGTATTAACATTGAACTTCTTTCTGTTTGAACCCAAATTTGTACTTGTTTTGCGTTTGACAAGGCTGTCAAGCTTGCGACGATTGGCTTTTATACCGATAGTCAGGGATGACTACAGATTTAGCGTGTCAAATGTCTTCTTGTTTGTGTCAAGATTATAATATTCTATAGTTGTTCAAACGAGATATTCTATACACTGGAAACGTAGAGTACATTTTACTTTGTCTTCGTCTCAAGCAAAAAAGGTATAAAGATTAAACAGGCATTCAAAAATATACAACAACCACGAACATCTCGTAATATTTCTTCGGAGAAATCTTCAAGTTTCAATGGAAATCTGGCGCATGCGCAACAAATTTCCCAGCTGTTGTATATGTATATATATATTAGTTTACCCACAGGGTAGTGAATGCTGCCTTGGTATAGCATTGTTCCCAAATCTTTAACATTTTAAAGAATAAGAGTAAGAAATATTTGTAATCACCATTCCCCAATTAACCAAAATTTTGATCTCAACAAGTCTAGACAAAATTCCACCATAACATAAAAGAGCATGGCAAAATTAGTAATATTCCAAAGTTTCGTTGCGAAATGTTGTAAAATGCGGATAATATAGCCTTGTGAAATTTGCAATTTTCAGTCATTTTAGATTACAAACGGGAAATGGTTATCACTTTTCCAAAATTTTGATCTTAAATTAACTAGCCTAAACAAAAATTTCATCACAACTTGAAAGAGCATCCGGGCAAAATTAGTAATATTCCAAAATTTCGTTGCAAAATGTTGTAAAATGCGGATAAATAGGATAATATAGCTTTGCGAAGTTTGTAATTTTCAGTCATTTTGTAATTTGTATTACGCACAGAAGTGGTAACCGTCTCCCGTTTGTAATCTAAAATGACTGAAAATTGCAAAGTCTAGATTTGTTGAGTTCAAAATTTTGGTTAATCGGGGAATGGTCCGTTGGAATCATCCATAATTTATACACTAAAGTAAATGCTTTATTACATCAATATAAAAATATTTACAAAATTTTTACAAAAATCATAGTTACAAAAATCAACCTATTAGTATGGCTATAATAACTATATTTACAATAAATTACGAGAAATATAACATTATAGATTGAAAATTCTTAAAAATTGACTATTAATATATGTCAATTGTATAGTTAAAAAAGAAAATTATCCATATAAATAGTCCATTATAAAAGTATCTAAAAAATTTCTGCTGCATTAGCATTTACATTAAAATCATCTATGAAGTCATTTGCGTTCTTAGAGGGCCTTCTAGATCCCCTGACACAAATGTTCACCGATCAAAAGATAAGCGTGTTCTAAGCCATGAAATGACTGCGTGGTAAGGTTCCCCATCCCTTCGTGAAAGCTTATCAGCAAGGTGCTTCAGAAACATTTGGCATTCTGTTCCCATACCACCGTTGGTACCAAGAACCAATGGCGTGAACGTCCCCATTTCGACATCTAGCACTCGCTGTTGATATTTTCTCTTCTTCTCGTTCTCGTGCTCTTTAAAGATGGTAGTCGTAGGCTTGTTCTGGTTACACTTGGAGTTGACATGCGTTATTCTAACATCAAAAAATGCTGTCACTCCTCGTTGCCAGAAGCCTCCTGCCTTTATGTCCAATCTTGCCTCCGGACTAGTGACAGCGGTTCTGTGGCGGAATTGTTCGTTATCCAGCGGTTGAAGACGAGGCTCTGATTCCACATTTTTGCATACCTTGCTTGTAAGCAAAGTTAGAAAATCTCGAATACCGTCGTGCCTCTGGGCTACAAACCCACCCTTCTTACACGAAAGGGCGTGGTTAATTGTAAATCTCTCTCCACATACACAGAAGCTTGGTAAATCCTGCAGAGGTATGTTGTACCGCAATCGTAGGGAGTCTCTGAATTCTTGTTTATTCATGGCTAGGTCTTGCTCTTCAAGGGATATTGCGTTAAGCCACGAGCTCGCTCCCTTATCTCTCGACTGGTTTACCAAACGCATAAGCTCATTAGACAGAGAAGAGTCAATAGTTTCCATTCTTGTTTTGACGGAAGCCGTTTTAAGTGACTGGTGGTAAATTTTACGATCTTCTGTAGATACGTCGCCTTTCGTCTTGAAGGGCCTTTGTGTGACGATGGATTCAACATGCGAAGTTGTCATAGATGTTGATGCAGCATACTGCTGTGGGGCGTCTATTCTCAAGTCTGGTATACCAAGGCCGCCTTGCGCTGGTGTCAACGTGAAAAGCTGACGTAGCTCACCGGGGAGCGGTTCTACTTGCACAAAGAGTGTTGGAAGAAACAAGTCATCAATCGCTTCATGGATTGGATCTACATATTCTTCAAACGATTCAATTGTCCGCATGAAGTATGTAAATTTAGATTTGTAACTCTTTGTAAAGGCAATATAGGATGCATGGGGTTGATTCTTCGCAATTTCAGAGAGTGCTTCAATTTCTTCTTCCATTTGAGGACTTTATCATCACAGTACTGGTCTTTATAATCTTTGGATCCAATAACGGCTCCAAGGTGGCCATGACCTTCTGTTGTAACATTCACTTCCTCCCCAAACACCTTCTTAGCTTCCTCTGCTAACAGCTCCGACTTGACAATCAACCAACTTTTTGATCCATTGACGAAATAGCCATACTTCGTTCCTTCGAGAGTCAACTGCTTGTACCAATCATACAACGGCACCAGCTTTTTTCCCCCAACTGAGTCATCAGCCAACCATACCTGCTTAACTTCTGGGGTTTGTATCCTCAAGCTCTGGATCATGCTGCATATAGTAACCGAATACCAGGGCATAGCCAGGGGATCACCTTGTGTGGTTCCCTCTTGTGACAACATCTCGCCACCGCCGGATATTAAATAACCTGGATGGATCCCTATACGAATTTATAATATATATAGACATTTCTTTACAGATTATGCGAATGTTGTGCATAGCTACAGACCTGTTCATTCGGTTGAATGCATTGCTGGCATCAATCAGTAATATCCCATCTGTCCCCTCCTGTGCAAAAACTTGGCTCATGGCGTGTATGGCAGCCTCGGCCCCTGCACTGTGTCCAGCGCTAACTTGAAGGGGGCCTGCTGCTTCCTGGATTTCCATCTTTAGGAAGGTGGTAACTGTTTTACCAATAATACGCCTCAAAATCTCGCCTACTCCGATTGGTCGAATTCCCGGATTCTTGTCTAGTGGGATGAGTCTGCAGGAGGTGTAACCTTCAAGTAGGGATGGATGGTAACTCGTCTTCAATAGATTTCTGGTGAGAATTGCTAATTCTTCTCTCAATATCTTGCCCTCAGTCTTGAAGTTCTTGGAGCAAAGGATTCTTCGATACAGCTCCGCATCCATTCCGGACGGACCCGCAGAACCCTTTGTTTTCATGGCGGCATTATAGATAATTTCTTCCCCGATTAAATCGAAAACATTCGGCGGAATGTGATCGATTGGGCCATGCAGAAGGCTCTCATCCTCGATCTCGGCTGCGAGCGGGTGCTTCTCTTTCAGGCTCTCCAAAACTTCAGGTGATAGGCTTAGAAGCCCTGATGAACTCTCTTTATCCAAAAGTTTGATTGCTGCGGACACTTTGCCTTGTAAAACCAGTCTCGCAAAAACTTTGGAAATGTCCTCGACAGATCTAGCCTTCTTCGAGTTGGCGAATTTTCCCTGTATGAATTTCACTTCTTTCATTAGAGCAACTAGGTCTCCTTGTTTCCACAGAGCCAATCTGCGTAATATCGCTGCACTATGGTCTTTACTCTTTGAAGTAGCTGAGGGCTTTTGTAGAATCAAAGAGGGAAGCACCATGAATGCTTTCAAAGCAATTGGATTTAAGTCCGAATTTGAATTGAATTGTTTTATCCAAAAGGTCAGCTCTTCAATATAATTCTTTCCGGCTCGCCCAGACGGTATGTTAAAAATATTTCTCCTGAAGTGAACAATTTCATTATAAATGCCATTGACAACGTCGAAAAAGCTTGCGTAGCTGATATCGCCCCACATTTTGTCCTTTACTTCGGATGGTAACACATCGAAATCAGGTAAGTGCGGTTTAATTTGGGGGGAAATAATTTCATTTTGTCCGTTTTCATGGGTTGCGTGACTACACTTGGCGGCTAAATTCTCTCCCATTGAAATCGTATGCAAATCCGAATTTGAAACCATAAAATTAGCATTTTGGCTAGGCTGTTCGCTCGTGTTTTGATTTTCGCCCTCGTAATTTTCTTCCATATTAGATATATTTACAGTGTCTTGGCGACTTTCCGTGTTTGTTTCACCAATAGCATTCCCACTTGTGTCTACTATGTTGCTCTCCTCGGCATATTCTGGCATTTTTTCTAGTTTTGCGGCCTGATTTCGTAAATTATAACTCTTAAGCCCGAGTTGCCCATATCCTTTGTCGTCCCAAAGCTGTTTCATCACTTCAATATAGCCTTTCTTTTTACCGTTTTCGTTCCGTGGTGGATTTTGTGATGAAATTAATTCTTTTGCCTTTCGTTTACATTGGAGCAGATCGTCATTCATTTGTTCTGTCCACTTAAATCTCTTGGATTTATGCGACATTGCAGCGGCCATTGCACCATTCTAGTTAACTTATTAAAATTAACTACAATGTAAAAAAAAGCAACTACAATGTAAAAAAAAAACATCAAATGTTGCTTGGATTAAATCATGTAGTTAGGCTTATCTGACTTACCTGTGAGCAAGTATTCGTTTAACTTTCGTCTGCCGATGGAGAGCAAGCGCTGTGAAGAAAACGAAATATGAACGTACAAAGAATTTTAAGAACGAAATATTAAAGTATGTGTAGGGTAAAACCTCTAGCATTTGAAATATTTGATCAAAGCACAAGTTGACTTGTTTGTCACTTTACCTCCCCATGACTTCCGTACATCATAATTTTTGTCCTTCCTGATAGTTCATGAATATATCTTCCATACATTGGAACACTTTGCTCTTCGATCTAATATATGAGGACATCAGTTACTTTACTATATGCGCAGTTTCAGATACGACGTACTCCATAAAAAACTGATAATTGATGAGAGAAGACAATGGAAATCACGACCATGTCGCTGGTTTTATATGTGATAAAAAATCATGTTCATTTATTTTTAAAATTACTTCGCCAATGAACTCATAAGATGGGTCGTTTTTTAAGCCATTTAAAACACGATCAGGGGTGCTTTATCAGTCTACAACTACAATTGTATAGAAGAGTTTCGTAGATGGAAATTTCTAGTGTGAATATTATACATCAATTCAAACACTCATTAATAATTCATAAGCTTATTGGCAAATCATGTCAACCATAATATGTCACGTGCAGTGGCTTTAAACCTGATAAAACACTTCTAATTAGTATTCTTTATATAAAGAATACTAATAAGGCAGTATCAATTGTAGTCGTGTCCTCATTAGTATTTTTTATATAAAGAATACTAATAAAGCAGTATATCTATTGAATTTGTAGTCGTGTTTGAAGCCGTTTAATAAACTCGCAGGTCGTGTTTTATTAGGTCTAAAGCCACTCGCACTGCGCGCTCGTGTCTTTAAACCTAATGAAACACTCCTACGCGTTTATTAAACAGTACGTATAATTACATAGGTGATTATGGACAATTCTCCATGCTAATTGGTTGCCGTTGAGGTGATTATAACGCGATAATCACCTAAGCGATTAACGAAATGGCGGTCGAAGCCGTTTTGTCAATTAAATGACTACGAAATGTGTATTTTTATTTTCCCCCCAAATAATCACCTATGAAATTACACTAAAACAATTATTCACATCCGGCTTGGTGACTATCGTGAATAAAAACCTCGACTTCGTCTCGGTTTTCATTCACCGATAATCACCTTTCCTTCAGGGAATAATTGTTAATTAATTAGACGGCTAACAAGAGGGCCTATGTATAGTTTCATTTTTCGCTCCTCGTTAGGTCTAATTAATGTATAATATTCAAACTGGAAATTTCCATCTACAAAACCCCATAAACATTACACAATGGAGTGTCTTACAGGTCCGGAGACTCCGGCCACTTCTAGAGCTTCACGACCTCGTGTAGACAGAGAGAGATTAATACTTCTTCCTTCGAAAAATTCCTGAGTTCTGATATCTGAAACAACAGATACTGGTTAAATACTGCCGCGCAGAAATCTTCTACAGTCTGGTTCAACATGCATATATTCTTGAAAGGTCTGTGCAGGTAGTGGCAATAATGAAACGTCAGATTGATTGGGATACAACTATCGAGCGAAGGCCCTTCATCGTGAAGTTAGTAGAAGGGCCTTCGCTCGAAACCAGGGATGGAAAAAATATTTCACTTTCTATAGGACCGCAAGAGAAGATTGAAAATTTTCTGCAAATATAATCAAGTAAATCGACACTCGGACACTGTGTGACACTAACAAGTTGTCAAAGTGAATGTCATGCTATATTTTACTGTCGTTCCAATTGAAGTGTTCCTCAAATATTGATTCAATACATTACCTCAGGCTGACCAATTCATTTCATCAAGTTCCTCGAGATATTCATACACTTCCTGTGAAAGAGCCAATTCCAAGTATTTGATCATTTCTGGTCACTTTCTTTCTATTTATGATTGGTTAGTTGCACAAACAACAAAGGTGATTGGTGCATTCAAACTATTCAACAGGAAGTTTACAATTATACTAGGAAGTGTATGAATATTTCGAGGAACTTGATCAAATGAATTGGTCAGCCCGAGGTAATGTATTGAATCAATATTCGAGGAACACTTCAATTGGAACGACAGTAACACAAAAAAATGTGTTTCAGTGCACTGAGAATCTTAAAATACTTTTAGGAATGTAACTAATTTAGATAACATGCATCAAAGGTCTGACCCCAAGGTAAATACAGATGCCAAAAAAGGCACTACTAGGGGGGGGGGGCACTATCAGCGGATCCATGCTCCCCAAGAACATTTTGAAAATCAAGTGTCCCAGATTGGCTAAAAATGCATGTGCCATACAACAGTGATGTAACATGTTCATCATTCTATATAGTCTATGCATTTATACCCTATCGCAATATTAAGATGGATGCACTTATAATTGCATTTCTGAGGTTATACCTACAGTACAGGTAACATTCTTTCTATTGGTTAGAATTTTTTCTATTGGTTAGAAAATATATTCTGGGAACTCAGAACATTTTGCTGGGACCAATGGTCCGATACTTTTTCTACCCCTGCTTGAAACGTCGAAGTTCTCCTTGTATTTTTCAGGTAGTTGTATCCGTATCAACCGAAGTTTGATTCAACGTATATTACTATAATTAAAGTGTAGTTGACGCAGGGACGCCGGAACTGGGGGGGGGCAGGGGGGGCGGCTGCCCCCCCCTGCCTTTTGCTAGGGGGGGCAGAAGTGCCCTTTTAGTTATAAAAAAATACGTGATAAATCACATTTAGAACGTTGGTTTTGTACGAAAATTATGAGATTCAGACAATTCACAGTTTATATTTCACTTATGGTATGTCCGGAAAAATTTTTTGACCCCTAAAATGGTACACTGACCGAAATTTTTTTGACGACGCGGGGGGGGGGGGGTCGCCGAAATTTTTTGATAAAAACAAAAAAATTCGAAGATTTTGAAGTTTTGCTTTTGAGAAGTGCCCTTGCTGTGGGTCCGCCCCCCTTTGCCTTATGATCGTTCCGGCGTCCCTGAGTTGACGGATGTACCTTTTCTTGCTTCATACACGTTGACAGTGTATCCTCTTTGTGACAGATATATTGCATTCAATGTTCCCACCTGGTAGAACCAAGAAAGAAAACACAACCCTGAAATCTTTTTAAATATATTATATATAAGCTAACACCGCGATCATTCAAAGCCTCTAAGGACTAAAGGCTAATTTCCACTCAGCAAAATTATCCGTGGATTGGAACTGACAAGAAGAGTTTTCATTGTCTTGTGAGCTCTGGGTTGAAACCAATGACTTCAAAACAAAGAAAAATTTTCTTGTCCGTTCCAATCCACGGATAATTTTCCGAGTGGAAATTAGCCTTAATTAAGGGGGAAGAATTGTTCGGAATCATACCCCTTGGAGATGTCTGGCAAATGCCTATTCAATATAAAACAGTGTGGTACCTTCCTTTCACAAATTATTCCAACAAAGCCCTAGATTGCTAACGAGGACATGCATTCAGACGACCAACTGGTCACTGTTCAGAAAAACACAGTATGCTTTAAAGTAACGCAAACTTGTTCAACAAAGAAAAGAATGGAACAATTGACGTCACAAGGTTTTACATTTTATCCTGAAAGGTTATATTCTACGAAGCATTTAAACCCTGTTTTGTACTAGGCGAATCGTTTTGCTCGAAGCAAGTTTTTCCAAATTCGCTTAGTGGAAAACGGGCTCCAGTGAAGTACACCTGACAAATTTTCCCAAAAAAATTACACTATCAAAGTTTCTGTGATCACAGTAGGAATTTTGCATGGGTAAATTTTTGAAGGATTTGTAAGAATGTTTGAAGGAACTAACTTAATGTTAAACACTGAGTCGGCTATACCTCAAACATTTCTTACAAATCCTTCAAAACTTAGAATTTACCTTTGCAAAATTCCTACTGCGACCACAGGAATTTTGACAGTGTAAACCAGTATACAAGAAGTATAGGTATTTATAAGTATAGGAAGTATAAGTATAGGAATTTATTCGGGCCAAAGTGGGACATCAGTTAAAGAGCAATTTTCACAAACGTCGACTCACCAGACCGGCGCCAACAATCGCTACAGGTCCCTTCCGTGTTGCTTCGTTTTCGTGTTCCATTTTGCTTGTCTTTCGTGCAGTATCTTTCTTTAACGTGCGGTATCTTTCTTTAACGTGTTCCTTGCCGAGCTATATATACAGTAAGAAGAAACGTGCACTAATGGACACAGCAATACGCTCAAAGACACACACGAATTTTGATCAGACTGTTTTGGTCGCTCTTACTGTTACATTTATGAATTAAATTTGCATGTTTAGTACGGTTGACAAGTCACGCTGACGTATTGAACTGCATGCAGCAAGGGGACTTTCGTGTGTAAATGCCAGATAACGCTCAACAAGTTTTCTTTGACAAGTTTACGAGCTAATAAAACTTGTCAAGGAAAACTTGTATATTCTTAAGGCTAGTTTCCACTCAGGAAAATTATCCGTGGATTGGAACGGACAAAAAAATTTTTCTTTGTGCTAAAGTCATTAGTTCAAACCCAGAGCTCGCAAGACAAAGAAAAATTTTCTTGTCCGTTCAAGACAAAGAGAAAATTTTTCTTTTCCAATCCACGGATAATTTTCCTGAGTGGCAACTAGCCTTCATACACTCAGTTACTGTAACGGCAGTGAAACCTTCAACAGTCACTTTAACTTTTCATTGCGCTGTTGATTGACATTATGGAGAGTACACTTCATTATTCATTAACTGTATTCTTATACAATTCTGTACAATCACTAAATGCCTTCTGGTTGGCTAGAAGCTGAAGAGTCGAGCAACCATAGATATCTTATATACACTAGATAGTGCATATAATTATTCTGCAATTCAAAAATTGAAGCCGTGATTGCAGACTCAGGATATTCCCATGAAATGAGAAGATTCGTATGTTTTCTATTTCTTAAACAGGGAACTTAAATATTAAAGTAAACCTATTCCAAATACATTTTTAAACTATTCGAATGATGAAAGTTATTGTTGTTTTTTAAGCGTTTATTAACGAGTGGGAACTACCAACATGGCCGCCATCTATTCAAATGGGGGTAACCGCTGGAATATTCTTGGCTTCCATTTTACTAAAAGAGATGCGCTATCCAGTGTATATAAGATATCTATGCGAGCAACCCACTGCATATTTAAAGCGCAAAAACGTTCCTTGACAAGCTGCAAGCAATATTAAAGAAAGTGTTAGCAACAGAAAAACATTGATGATGATGACATTTTTATTGATTTAAATAAAGAAAATATCTATAAGTATAAATATAATAACAATTTGGTTTTTTCAAACCAATAAACTGTATGAAGTCCAGATAATGTCATTTAACCAAATGCATGTACTTCACCCACGATAATGTAGTAAAGTATTAAATATTTAACTTTGTTATAAATAATTGAAATTAAATGTGACTAAAGAGTTAGTTTGCCAACAACTTATCTGCAACGTTGGTAGATCTTCTGTGCCAGTATCACACCAAGACTAACGGATAGCAAACCAAATATTTTCGTTACTCTATCAATAATCTGAAACAGTAATTAATCAGAATTATGGAAATATCAACTATATATATTAGGGTTGGGCGATATTAAAAAAATCATCTCACGATTATTGTCGAGGAAATTATCACGATATTCGATAATATCGCGATAAATGCAATAAAAACAATGACCACATTTTTCAATTTTAATTAATATCAAAGCATAGTAAGCTTATAAAATCTTATTAAAAACAAGTAAAACAACAAATTAAAGTAAAATGAAGGCTTTTTCTAGTCTAATATTTACTGTTCATAAACCAGAAGTCTATGCAGTGTCTACTGTCTCTCCGCAGGCACAAATGCCGTGGGGGCACAGCGCAAGCAAAGCCTGCAATTTCATTGTTCAGCGGCTTACTAATTTACCAAGGCTTTCTAACTTACCAATGATTACTAGATTACCAAGGATTACTAGATTACCAATGATTAATTACTAGTTTACCAAGGAGTACTAGATTACCAGTGATAAGTAGGGATAATTACGATGTATAAAAGTTAGAATGGTACAGTATATTAATTGGTGACCGTAACACCAAGGCTTAACCAATATCGTATTAAATTTGTATTTAATTCAGGAAATAGTTTTAATTCTTTTAAAAACTATATTTTCTAGGAATTGAAGGAATTTTTTAGGATTTTTATAAAAGCTATATTCACATGCGAAGCAATATCACGATAGTCAACGAGCATGACGATAATTTCGATATATCGTCGCTCAAGTTTCTACCTTCGATACGATAATCGCGAATGACAATATCACAATAAATCAAAATATCGAAATATCGCCCAACCCTAATATATATATATATAGTTAGTATAGAGTTGGTCACTTATAATGGTACCTTGTCTTGCCAATGTGTTCTGGCTACCACTTGATGATATGGAGTAAGAGTAAAAGAAACCTAAGAAGAATATTTTAACCCAGTGACATTTTATCAATATTGGTGAAACTCATTAATAATTCTCATGAATTGAAAGAAATGACACAAAAGAAATCATGCGTGTGAAGGAGTTTGTGTATCTGATACAAAATCATGCTGATTTACATAAACTTTACGTTTAATTTTCTCACCAAATATCATTCATTTATTTTAATTGTTAAAGAATAATGATGTTCTGATCAAGACGTTTCACAAACCTTCGGCTCGAGTTTGTATATCCGATACAACACGGTCCGTGTTTTAATTAGTACATACAACTATTGTCATTTGACTTACCATTGTATATTTGGGTATAAATGTTCTTGGCATCAACCAGTGCAGAAAATTATCGACATGTTTCTTGATGAGAAAGGATTTGGAACTCACCAAGGATCGCATCTGAAAACACAACTCCACGTGAAAACACTTAACACAGCAGGTAATACTTTTTGTGTGTGTTGGCGTTATCTACTCAGGTGAATATGATGTTTGTGATGTAAATTACTCTGAGTGTGCATCCACACCGGGCAAGCTGAAAACCTTTCAGCTTTCCCGGTGTGGATGTACACTCAGAGTAACATCACAAAGAACAACAGGTAATATCCAACCTACTTCGATATAATTCTGCATTGACAAGTCACAAATTGTTTGTGCATCCACGTTTCGCGACTTTGAAAATGCCTGCATAGCCAGTCCTGTAAAAAACACTTAATAACTGAAACACACATTCTATGCTGCAATGCAACACCATGGCAGTTTAATATGGAATACAGGACGAGGTGTGACACGGGTCGACGATATTGATGTATTGAAACGGTGTATGATGCAACAAAACTACATCTTTCTAGTAATAGATTATAGTATGTTAGTTTGTCAACGAAAGATTGCTCCAGCAGCAATAATAATCTTCTTGAACTACGAGATTTTCTCGATAACATTTGAGTTTTTTTAACCGGCGTTTGAACTTTTGTTAAGCCTGGTGACTTATTTCAATGCATCAAAATCATCCCTTTCAGCAAAGCAGGATCATGTAAACAACCTTACACATGCGTGCATGTAATCTTACCCATATTATCATGAAACTCATCAAGAAAACCATTAAATATCCGAACATCCTCTAGTGCCTAAGAAAAAAAAAATGAATGAGAAACCACAACATTGTTCAAATACTTAACCAACCACTCTCGATGTCAACAAAAGTCATAGAACTAACAGAGTTCATTCCTTGACCATAGAAAGGCACCATAGCATGAGCTGCATCACCAAAGAAAATGACCTTATCTTGAAGATGGTACGGATCACACTGCAACAGAAAAGAATCAGTGTGCGATAATTCGCGTACTTACGTACCAAAGGTACGCCAGTATTACAGTCTAGCCTCCTCTTATTGGTACCATACGACCTGCAAACTTTTTGAGGTATTCAAACCGTATTTAAGTAGCTAGGTTGGAGTCAATTGTATATGTTTGTACATGCATGAACTGTACTCTTTCAAGACTTTCATCACATTTAGTTTTTACCTTAATTGATATCATGCTGCCAACAACATTTGTCATGTACTCATTTATTAAATGTTCTCTAAAATAAAATGACATATTATATGCTGTTAAATGTGAAACAGGAATGAGGTATCGTTTAAAACACCAAATAAAACACTACATACTCGCCATATAGAGAGACTGAATCAGGAAATTCTTTCTTAAAGAAAGCAATTACATCGTCCTGGACAAACAACATGGAAATATGCAATAAATACACAACACAACATTGATACATGGCATGCTGCAGAAATAATCAAATACCAACCTTTGTTTTAATCCTGTCAAAAACTTCAAAAGGCATAAACAGAGTACATGTGAATGATTTGTCCTGAAAAAAAAAGGGAATTAATATGTACGCTGCAAAAACCAGACAGCATAGTCATATAACCAGGGGAAAAAATTAAATTTCAATTGATGGATTTTTGAATGTAAAAACTGAAGTCTTACCATTATTGGTTATTATAGATTTCCACTACCATTAATTAATTAAATTAAATGGTCTTTTTTCCCTGTGCACAGGAAAATACCATTAATGGTAAATATTAAACATGGTTTTTACCAAGTGCATCTTAAGTTAAGCTTAAGAGTTCAGTTTTTTACATTGATAAAATGGTAAATCTTCAATAAACATTCAATAACCCATTTAATGGAAATTTAAATTTTTTCCCTGTGATATACTTGATTTTGTTGCACCTGGTTTGGCAATGCTATCATCATAAAAGTTTGTCTTGGCCAAATGTGAAGACCTTTGGGGTCCATCGCATACTATACAAGACATTGAGAAATAATATGGAGAATGAACACTCATGTACTAGATATATGTAAATTTTGGATAAAAATTAACTAGCCTCTCCATTCTTTGGCAACATAGCAAGTTCTTTATAACCATGTGGAATATATTGTTGACTGTAGTCCAGTCTAAAACATTAAATTATCAAACCAGAGTTAAGCCTCGCTCAAACGAGGATTTGACACATTCATCAACCCTCACTGACCAACATTAGCCAACCCGACAAGTTAGTCCCGCTATGCAAATTCAAAATCATCATTACTCATTTCTTAAGAAATCGATTGTTTTCACAGTCAATGAGCACAAAAATATTTGCATAGGGGACTAAATCGTCAGGCTGGCTACGCTACTGTGTACTAGCTATCATGAACCCTAGCTCATCATGCAACCCTCATGCAAGTCTCACTTTGAACTGGTTCAAATTTGGATGAGACTTTTCACTACACATGTCGTAAATAAATATTCAGTCAACTCTCATGCAACTCGATCTTGTTCATGTTTGACCAGGGCATGGAACTCTCATGCAACTCTTATTCATGTTTGACCAGGGCATGCAACTCTCATGCAACTCTTGTTCATGTTTGACCAGGGCATGCAACTCTCATGCAACTCGATCTTGTTCATGTTCGACCAGGGCATGCAACTCTCATGCAAACTCTTGCTTCTTAACGTTCATCAACTTTCTTCCTTGTTTGACCAAGGCTTCAGTCCCATCCAAGGTTATGTTTTCATATTTTTTTCCTATTTGTACAGAAATGTGTACCTCGTTTTTTTCAAAATTTCTTTTCTCACAACAGAGTGAGCTCCATCATTTCCGAATATTACATCAGCCTCCACTTGTTTCTCAACCTTGCCATGCCTGGAAAGCAGAACATACAATACAATATTTGGTACCGTATAACAACATATAGTATTAAGATGCCTTGTAAACATTTAATGGTTTAACGTTTGAAAGCTTTGGATTGATATACGGATGCAACAACCTGAAAATACAAGGAGAAATTCGACATTTTGAGTGAAGGCCCTTCTTCGGGAAATTACTAGTAACTTTCTTAGCACTAGCTGCACTGGCACGGATTGTTTATGGTATAAGTTTATACCTACACTTGAAAATTTAATTTTGTACTTTCAATATCCATAGCAATCAACTTGTGCTCACAATGAATGTCCACATTAGGAAGATTGTCTGCAGCTGATGAAATATAGTACAAAATAACGTAAGAAGTGTTGTTGTTCAAAAACATGGAAATTAGTATGTTAGCAAATATGATCGATATACCTGTTAACAGATCCTTATTTAATGTACTTCTTGAAATTGAAAACAGATGCTAAATAAAACAAAATCAACCAATAATGATGATGTTGAACAATCTGTCTGTGGTCTATCTGCATGTCATGTTGTACAGTATGACGTATGTTGTGTCATCTATATGCCATGTTGTACGGTACAGTATGTTGTGTCATCTGCTGTGCCAAGTGGTTATATTACTACCTTAAAAAATAAGCAGAAACTCGACGTTTCGAGCGAAGGCCCTTCGTCAAGAGTTATGTTGTGTCATCTACATGTCATATTTCTACCTGTCCTTTCTTTCCATAAGGTATAAATGATGTCTTTCCATCTAAATTGTGAATAATACGTCCAGGCATTGGAATTCCAGTTTCTTTCACCTTGAAATGTAAAGACATATTCCTTACTACATGGTTGTTGTCTCTGAGGCATGCAGTTTAAAAATATCAATTTCCAAACTTCCAGTTGTCACTTTCGAGACATGGTCTAGCTGGAAACTCGGTAAACTTCAAAGCAACCGGTTATAATGAGCTGTGTGTTTATGTTGAGCCGTACCTTACACCGTGCACATCCTATGTTTTAGGTTTATTAATATTTAAGTAGCATGGTTGAATAACTGAACTGAAACGTTGCTATTGGATGATTTGTTCATTATACTGAAATACAATGTGTTCATTGACCGTGCACCGGGCCGTGCACAAAACTGCATAAACGCGAACAAAAAGATAGAACAAAGACTTTAGCAGAGTTTCCAAACCATGTTTTGAAAGACTATGATTTCAGCCAGTTAATTTGCTAGCTACAGCTAGTATAGAGCTCACCATTTGATCCAATCCAACTTTTTCTAGAGCTGCAAGTCCTCTTGCTGACAGAGCCAAATTAATACTACGACCTTTGTATTTATCTGACACTCTGATGTCTAAACAATGATTTACATGCGGTCAAGTCTGTTCGGATTTTGAGCACACTATATTCTTAATTTCATAAAATATGATGCACTTTAATATTAAACATTGTCCTGGTTCGCCAATAGGCAATATGCTTTTAAATTAATATAAAATAGAATTTCAATTTCGAAAACAGTTAACAATGCAAAATCTGGGTATTGTTTACATCAGTCATGGTCATCACATGCAGACATTCCAACTACTGGAGGTAAAATTTAGGGAAACTGTTCAGTGAATTGAAATCTAGTTCTTCTGGGAAAAATAATAAAAATTAAGTGTTCTGAAATGGCGTTTCCTGCATTTTGGGACTATGTTGTTATAAATGATCCTATAAAATGCCATAAAGTAACTTCAAAAAAGGTCCGAGACAGACTATTATGTTGCTAAAAACAGTATATTTATAATTTTTTTATGATATTTCCTGAATATTCTGAAAAATAGGGAGAATTTGATAAAAATCGGGAGACTGCATGAATTTTTGGGAGACTCCCAGTAAAATCAGGAGAGTTGGAATGTCATCACATGACACATGCGTAGAGCAGATTTGAACCCGGTCTTTTAAATGATCAAATGAGAGCAGCTTAGCTATTATGTTGCAGCATGCTTGGCAAGATCATACTATATTCATACCTACCCTGTACCTACCTTCTTTAGATTCATAAATGTCCACTTTGTATCCACGGCTCCCCAAGTACACTGCATTCAATGCCCCAGCCTGGTCATAATGAAGAAACAACATATTGTGCATCGCAATGAAAGAGCGGGCAAGGCCAGGGGCGAAAAAGTCCGACTATATAGTTCCAATTTTGCAAGTACTACACTGACCGGAAAGTTTGGAAATAGCACGCCGGAGATTTCAAAAATTTAATAGTTTATATACAGAAAGCACCAAAAGATACAAACTTTCCACACTGGGGTACTGTATGTACATGAATGCTATACTTTTTATCATTTTCTTGAGGGACATTTTAATTTCAAAATAGATGCCTAAATTTTCTGAATATGAGAAATTCTGAAATCATTGGTTGCTGCACCCCTCCCCCCATTCTCTATGGCCAGAGCTCTATGGCCATGTCCTCTTTATTATAATTAAAGTATAATAAATGGTTGACCCCCCTCCCAGTGCCATAGCAAGCTCGATAGGTGGGGGGCTCAATAATTATTCATATATTTGTGTTCTGCATTATTAATTTATTTTGAAATCAATTGTTTTATGGTCCGTGAACACGTGTATATGAATATAATATCCGAGCCGCATTCCATGTAGAGTGCACGCCGAAGTTCCTCCGCTGGAAAATTCGCACACGCCGCCAGACTGCCAGATTTATTTAATCTATATTTTGGCAAAATTTTACGGCGACCTCCCCCCCTCGCCAAAAAAATTTCGGTCAGTGTGCCATTTTAGGGGTCAAAAATTTTTTCCCGACATCTCAAAAGTTTTCGTTGCATAAAACAATTTTTCCCGGCATTACCAAATTTTCTCCATTTATCCAACTTTTTTTCCTTAAATCCAAAAATTTGGTACAATTCTCTAAAATTTTTGTCAATTTAGCTCATTCTTCTCCAAATTCACACTTATTTTTGTTAATTAACTTTCTCTGGGCCTAGAAATTACCTGAATTTGTGTTCATTTACCTGAATTTCTTCTGCAAATCTACCTGGATTTACCTGAAATCGCCCACATGAGCAATTATTTGGGGGGGGGGGTGTTACACCCACCCCCCGGTCGGCACGGCCCTGCGCGCGAGTGGTTTTAGACACAATAAAACACGAGTCGCGAGTGTATTGAACAGCTTCAAAAACCAATTAGTATTCTTTATATAAGGAATACTAAGTAGGAAGTGTTTCATCAAATATGAAACCACTGCATGTAACATATTATACTTGATTTGGTTGGCAAAAAAGATCATGAAACTGTTAAGTTATCCGATAAACAATAGAGACTTAACGACGATATTTTCTGATTGTATTATATTAAGTTTGTACACCGTTGAGGGAAAAAAAGACTACGCCGGCACGCCAACATTAGCATTTGCACGCCGCAGCGCCGTAGGGCATCGCAACTCCACGCCGAAGATCTTCGCGTTTGGTTACATGGAATGCACCCTGGCCCCACCCCAATTATCGAGAAAGAACGAACAATATAAAAGAACAATAGAAATGATGTCATTTAATCAATAGGCCTATTGGACATTGATAATATTTACTCTTTTAAATAGCATAAACAGTAAATAAAAACATTATATTATTATGAACCTACCAAACCCCCGCCCACAATAGCAACTCGCTTTGCAGTCACCTCCTCCTTCATCTTGAAGTCAACTGATTCTTCTCAAATATCGCCTCGGGAATTCCACAGATTTCAAAACAGCACACTGTTGTTTAGCCTTTTAAAACTACAAACCTCACACGCGACAAAGTTAAAAAAAATTAGAAAAAAAATAGATATTTTATATTTTTTTAGCCCGATGTATTAAATCATGTTCAATATCACACTAATTACACCAAGTATCTAACCAAACAGAGCGAGTTAGCTGACCGAGAAAACTGTCGTCCGAAAACGCAAACACGATGATTTCCGATTCACGACGATATGAGTAAGCATTTTGCCGGATGGAATTTAATAAAAATCATACCATGGGGGCATAACGGGGCGCACGTGCGTGGTTTTTGCCATTTGATCAATTTCTAAAGTTGATTCTTTTTGGAATTTTGTAATAATTTGGTAAGGGTTACGCTAGGATTTGGGGACAATGATGTCATGTCTGTTTGATGGTTGGAATTGTACTGACCCACGTGCGCGCATGGTGCATAAAATATTTGTGGTGTTACTCCGAGTGTATATCCACACCGGGCGAGCTTGAAAAATATGCCCGGCCGCGGTGGGTCCCACCGCGGCCGGGCATATTTTTCAAGCTCGCCCGGTGTGGATATACACTCAGAGTAACACCACAAATATCATATTCACCTGAGTACACTACACCAACACAGAAAAAATTCATACCATAAAAGTTGCCGAAATTAGTCTTGGCACGCGAAAAACTTTACTGATACATATTAAGATTTTATTATCGTCAAAAATTATGTACTATTTACAACGTGAGCAGGAGTGCTTTATCAGATATAAAACAGCTCGAGTGTTTTATATCTGATAAAGTACGGACTGCGAATGTTTTTAAATGGATTAAAAAATTTCAGTTATTCAAAATGGCTCCCATTCCAACGTTGAAGAAGGTTGTAAGTTTAAGTTTCTGATGATTTTATCAAGTCTGTGAGCTCAATGCTTCCTTAGCTTTCCACTGGATGAATTTGGGCTGATCTTTGTTTCTTAAAGTCGGGAAAAAACGATTTTCGACGCTTATCCGAAGTTTCGTTATAGTCCATCGCCGCGTTGACTTCGGGACTTACTCGCGCCCGTCGTTGACGGACGGAAATAGTCGAAGTTGCTTTATAACTCTGTCTTTGAGCTTCGAAAAGCCTTCTCAGTTCACGTACGTGTTTATCTCGAAGAGACTTAATTTCCTTCTGTAATGTCGTAGTGAAATTCTCTACTGTGTCTTGTGCATCTGTCTTCAAATATTCTGATATCCTCAGTGAAGGGATTTGTTCTTCTACAAAATATGAAGTTGTAGTTCAATTTCTTTAGATCAAGGTTAACTATTAGGCCTGGTTTTCCTGTGATCACAGTAGGAATTTTGCATGGGTAAATTCCAAGTTTTGAAGGATTTGTAAGAAATCTTTGAGGGAACTGACTTACTACTAAACAATGAGTCAGTCCTCTCAAAATATTCTGACAAATCCTTAAAACTTAGAATTTACATATATGCAAAAATCGGCCTTCTGTGGTCACAGAAACAACCTCTCTAAATTAAAACTTACTTAAGGATTCAAGTGTTTTCACATTCTTTCTATATCTCCCAAAATGCCAGATCAATCCAGCTACAATTACGGTCACCAATAAACTGACTGTCACTTTAAATGAACTTGTAAATGCTTCAGAAGATGGATCAAATAAACCTGAAGATTTCTCCTTCGCTTCTTCAGCCTCGTTTCTGTCCTGTGAAGACAAATATGAATTCATGAAGACAAATGTGGCTCCACGATATCCTAAACTTAAGTTCTGCTATACAGGTCCAGTCATCTCACAGGAGGAAACCAGGAACAAGCGGTAAGAGAAGATAAACTGAAAATAAGTTGTCACACTAACCAGCTGAATACTCTCTGTATTCCCTTCAACAATTTCAGAAATCTTATTCTTGTGTGTTGCGAGAGCTTCCCGGAATAAGGGCGCAGCTTTAGCCATGTCCCCAGACAAGATAAAACCATAACCTGTTGGATACTCAATCAAACGATTCAACTGAATATCTCCTCCACCAAATGAGTCTTTCTTTGTCGCTGCTGCATACATGTCGAGTAAAGCTCCAGCAATTTCTTTATTGTGCATTGCGTTGATGACATCTTCCATGTTATCGAAACCAACAACTGTTCAAAATACAGACGTTTTAATAATTGGAATTGGTGCTAAGTAAAATAGCTTTGGGTATTTTATTTTACAATGTCTTACCGTCTGCATTCTGTCGAACTGCCTTGCTGTATTCAGCGGAGTTTTCTATGGCGCCCACCTAAACAAAAGATATTTATTGTGATCAAGTCAGGCAATTGATTGGTGTTAAACCTAGACTTTATTCAAGCAAATCATTTTACCTGTGCTCCATATAATTTATCTTCCTGTATAACCAAAATTGAAGTAATTGACGTCACAATTCCTCCAGTTACAATCGAGATAATCACAAGACCCATTAAGACCCAGACGATCGCAAAAAGACGTCCTGGTATGGTGACGGGACTGCGATCTCCGTATCTGAAAATGCGCGATGGTGTGTACAAATATTTACACGTATGTAACAACAGAAACAAGCAGCAAACAAGACCTGGATACTTTGCAACTGAAAGCAAATAATTTCTAGATTTACTTACCCTACAGTTGTCATAGAGATGTACGCCCACCAAAATCCTTCTGGAACTCCTTTCGTGAATGGATCTGGAAAATGTTCTGCATTGTGATGTCGTTCCTGTAAAATTAGAGATTGTTTTGACTATTGTCCTAATGTTTGGTTTGAACGAAAGAGGGAAGTACACGTCAAGCATATCTGCAATCCCTGCTTTCTAGCCAATATTTTGGATAAAACAATGAAAGGTTTTAGAATGTCACCCAAACGTTTAGAGTAGCTTGGAAATAAAACTGAACTTTTGAAAAAAATGGGTCGAAAACCAAAAGCACTGTACACAGTTCAATAACTTACCAAGACCCAAATAACAACCCCAGCCATCCAGGCAAACATTGTCATGAGTAAAATCATTGGTAAACACGCTAACGCCGCGGTGACGACAACTTCAGCCGTTGAGGGAACATTCTTGACAGTAAAATAAGCAGAACCAGGCGCATCCACAACAGAAATAAACGGAAACACGCCACCATAGGTTGTCATAAATCTATTGCCTGGAACTGGAAAACTGACTTCTACGTTCTCATCAATATTCGTTGCAACAGCTTGTAAACTGCTTTTTTGATAACTGTTGCCAGTTGAGCGACGACGTCGACGTTTCTTGTCACAACCTTCTTCGTGACAAAATTCTGTTTGACCATGACCATTTAGACAAGTACCACACATCTCGTCCAGAATTTGTCTGGCTACCATAAAGAAGATTCCTCCAGGTGACTCTGGGTTGGAAATGTTGGTATAAGGAGGGAGAACCCACCAATTGGAACGAATATATTTTGGACAACGACACGTCGCTGAAAATAATAAATAAACATAACATCGATGTTGATCTTTTGTGAATATTTCTGAGAATTAACTTTGACATCCTTTGTTAATCTTACTTACCCCCAACTGTCACGTTACTTTTTGTTCCATTCTTTTTGGTATATCCAAAAATCTTCATTTCATACGTCGATCCAGGATCAAGGTTTGTCACAATTGTTGCATAACGATTCCCTCGTATTCTCTTCGACTGAACAACACGTTTCTCTGTGGGCACAGGCTCTCCAGCTAAAACTGTCGCAGTATATTCAATATAATAACCACGCAGAATGCCATTATGATATTCAGGAGGAATTCTTTCCCATTCTAACTTTATCTCAGAAATATGTTCAAGTGTTGAAACTCTGATGTTGTCTGGAGGAACTTCCGGGCCTGAAGAAAAGTACAAAACTCTTATCAAAACAGTGTTTTTCAACAGTAATAATAAACATTTTGCCTTACCGTCTTCTCCAGTGGAATTTATGTGTCCAGGTTCGTAAATAGGACCTTGTCCTTTCGAGTTACTAGCACTGACCCACATTGTGTAATTAGTATATTTCTTCAATCCTTCCATGTAATAAGATCGTTCATATGCAGCAAGTGTGGTATTAATAATGACATTACTGAGGTCATCAGTTTCACGAACAGTTAATTGATAACTAAGTATTACACCGTGTGCAAAACCTGCTAGAACAGGGTCCCATTCAAACAACATACTTGTAGTTGTTAGAGCATTACCACGAATGTTTTCTGGATAACGACTTGGAACTAAAAGGAAAAAGAGTTCCAGTTGGACTCCGCAGGTTTTTCTGGGAACTTTAGTTTTTTCCTGTAGTCAGACTGGATTAGCAAGAGTTGGGGAGACTTGTGGGGAGAACAGTTTAGAACTGGTGGATTATACTATCCAATATAGACAAAATTCCACTAACTTTCTTCATCAGTTTGTACAGTAATATTTGATGCGACTCCAGTTCCAATTCTTGTATAGCCTGCAATACGTATTTCATACCACCACCACCAGAAGAGATCAGTGAATTCATATTCAAGAATGCCAGGATTAGATATTTCTATCATTTCTGCTTTTCTCTTAGTGTTTGAAGGACGATAAAAAATCCGATAACCCAGTAAAACCCCGCGATGATCTAGTGCATCGATAACTTCCCATTGTAGAAATATCTTGGTTGAACTTTTATTGTATGCTTCTACTATTACCGGGCCTACTGCAGGAGCTAGATAGATAAATAAATATATGGTATGGTAAGGTAATGTAGGGTTCAGTATGGTTTGGTAGAGCATGGTATGGAAAGCTAAGATAACATTTGAGTGATAGCATTTTTAGAATGATTCCTACATTAAAGTAAATCTTACTTGATTCATCAGTAGTGGCTGTGACCACGGCACTTGCAGGACCATCACCAGCACCTGTATAAGCTATAACTTCCATTTTATAGTCTGTGAGGAACATCAGTCTTGAAATTTCAATTTTTCGAGCACTGCTATTAGGAACATTGACTGTTTCTTTCGGTTTTGTGCCAGTCCAGTAATTCACTTTGTATCCTAGTATGATCCCATTTCGTTCCTCAGGTCTCACTTCATCCCATTTAACAAGAATCCCAACAGTTTTGGTTCCAGTACTTTCAGCCGAGACATTCTGAGGTGGCCCGCTTGGAGCTGGAAGAAGGTTAACGAGTTTAGATGGCGATAAATTACTATCTTATATATAACTAAGACAGTTTCAAATTCTTACCATCTTCCATTGTAACGTGACTAGTCCTGTCTTGAGCTCCACACCCAGCGCCAGTCTTGGCTGCCACTTGGACATAATATCGCGTATAAGGTTTAAGAGAAGTGATATTTGCACTTAATTGAGAAGGATCTTGTATCTCTTGGATGCCACTTTGAGATGAACCTCTTGCCTGACACGTCACGCAGTAACCACGTGGCACACCATGCCAATATAGATCATGAATACGTGTCCAAGTTACCTCGAGTGAAGTTGAGGTTGATGAGATGTTTGTTATTTCTGGAGGAACACTGGGGACTAGAAAATAATAATGACGAATATCAAGTTATATTAGTGGTTGTAACAAGTAATATATAATTAACGAGAAAGTGTTTATTACCGAAGTATAAACTAAAACTTGTGTTGAAAAACGTTAGCCTTTCCTCCATGTATTTCGATTCCATGTTTTATCTTAATTATTCTAAACCTTCTTCCTAATCTAGATTATTTGTTAATTCTGACCTCAGTCCATACCATCTTCCAATGTAACGTATATAAGTTAATCCTAATCTAATCCTTAATCCTAATTCTGATCTAAATCCTTACCATCTTCCAAAGTTGTGTCTTCAAAAGGTAAGCTTGGTACTCCATTTCCATTTTCTGAATATGGACAAACTACAATTTTATATTGTGTAAACTTCTTAAGATTTTCCAATGTTTTTGTGCGTAAACTTGGTTGTACTGCAATCTTACTGTAACTTTCGGCTGTACTTTCTTTATAAAATACAATGTATCCACTGAGGGCTTTTGTTTGTGCTGTTTCAACTCCAGATGGTAAAGCATCCCATTCCACATTAATACTGGTTGAACTAGGAGATGTTGATCTCGCTTGCAGTGGCGATGACATGACTTAAAAGAACAGTAATTATTTAACTTTCTAATTATCGAAACACAATACAAAATAAAGCTAAAACAAACAACAGTATAATCCTACCATTTTCTGATGTCATATTATGCAGAGTAGTTTGTGTAGTTGGATGAACTAGTTTATCTTGAAGAAGAACTAACTCTACATCTGCAAGGGACTGGTAGTACACATTGATTGAGCATCGCACTTTATCAGCAGCGTCACGGCTAGTAAAAAATACGAAATAACAATTTAGTACCAAGTACATTCTCTGCAAACTAAAATAATAAACTATCTTTAATATTTAGTAGGCCTACGTACTCGCATGATAAGAAGCTCACTCCAGGTGGAAATGAAAAATAGAGAGATCGTTTCTAAAATACAGAAAAACATTTCATGCTTTACTGGCTGCTAGCTGTGACTAGGCTGCCTCGTACCCAGGCGTCTCTTTGTAAAAAAACAGCGATGCGCATATGACGAGTTTACATGAAGTATTGTAGTGGGGAGAGACGGGCGAAGGGGCTGATGGGAAGAGTGCACTTCCCAACAGCCCCTTCGCGCGTCGCATGCCTGAATACTTCATGTATAATTATTTAAAGCGCCTGGGTACAAGGCAGGTGACTAGGAGTGAACATATATGGTTATCATTCCCTCCTTTGCGTCCAACTAGGCGGGAAATGTTCATACTTACAAGTCTTCTAATATCACTTTGAAAAGATACTATATCTGACAAATATTCTTGCCACGAAACACTTATGAACGTTACATCCAGGACGACGTCAACAGCTGAAAAATAAAAAGTTGATCATCTTGATCATCTTGTAATACAATAAAGAATACAATAAGAACAATAGAATAGAATAGAATAGAATAGAATACAGCACAATAAAATAAAGAACATTAGAATACAATAGAATAGAATAGAATACAACAAAATTAAAAAACTGAGAAAAATACAAAAGAAATGAATGTTTAATCAATGTTTGTAAATCGGATAATGATTTGTCCTGATTTACATAAACTTCAGCTTTGATTTTCTCGGCTTAGACAATGTTTATTTTTAAAATTACTTCGTCAATGAACTCATAAGATTGGTCCTTTTTTTAAGTACGTTAAAACATTCGCATCCGATCTTTATCTGATATACAAACTCTCGCCTTCGGCTCGAGTTTTTATATCAGATAAAGATCGGCTGTTCATGTGTTAACTAGTACTTAGAATAGAATAGAATACAATACAATTTAATACGATAGAATAAAATAGAAAACAATAGAATACAATGGAAAACAATAGAATACAATGGAAAACAATAGAATACAATGCAATCGAGCAGAATAGAATACAACAGAAAACAATACAATATACGTTTATCACTTTCTATCACATGCCAAATAAGGTTAAACTCACAAATGCAAGGATGTGTGTTACATTCATTCCACTCCAGGGTCTCTCCACTACAGTTTCTTCCACCATACATCGGGGTTGGGTTCGTACATGATCGTCGTCTGTCGGAAGTACCATTGCCACATGGTTTGTTACAATACGTCCAGGAACTCCAGAGTGTAAGTTCTCCATCAACTAAAACGACAAGAAAAGTAATCAATAAGTTAATCAATAATACAATCAAGCAATGATCACTTATCAAGTCTAGCAATACCGATTGAACAATCAATGCATCAACTTGAGCTGAACGCCTCACAATTCTCAACATTTACAATAGTGAAAGTGTGTCACAACCTAGTGATTCAAACATTCCATTCTTCATGTCATCTAATGATTCATTGTTCAAACGTTGTGCAAGGCCACAGTATAGACTATACAGAAGGCCGACTTCTTGGTTTTTCCTGTGATTTTTCAATGATTTTGGCGTAACCGTAATTCGTCATCAAAATGCTGACGCCAAGGTCTAGCCAGTGCGCGTTTGAAAGGCATTCACCCCCTGAAAATATTCAAAATGGTGCACGTCCAGGGGGTATTGCCTCTCATAAGTGCGCTGGCTAGGCCCATGGCGTCAGTATTTTGATGACGACACATGGCGTGGTAGCGGTTACTCGAGTCGACCTTCTGTATGTCTCTATTCTGTGGCAAGGCGTCTATTACCACAAGCAAATACGATATACCTTAACAACTAAGAATAATAACACTCAATCAACTTACTTGGGCAAGGATCGACATTACAATGTTGTACTTCAATTGGATCACCCTCGCAGTCTTGACCGCCATATTGTGCTCCAGGATTGACACAAACCCTTCCTCGAACTTGAGTTCCGTTGCCACACTCCAGTGTACAATGAGTCCAGCTCATCCATTCACTCCAGCCACCATCAACTAGGAGAATATTAATTTCATCTTTGAATATCAAGGTAATGATATATAATAAAGAATTTGAAGTTGAAAGATGAGCCGAAATAGATAGATACGAGGACTTGAAAAACTGAGTTGAGTGTGAGGCCGAGGTTTTCAAAGACATTTCATGGCAATCAAATGCGCTTGATATATCCGATTAACTAATCAGATGCGTTTGATATATCCGATTAACCAATCAAATGCGTTGATATATTCCATTAACCAATCAGATGCGTTTGATATATTCGATTAACCAATCAAATGCATTTGATATATCCGATTAACCAATCAAATGCGTTTGATATATCCGATTAACCAATCAAATGCGTACTAAGGCAGTGAGAGGTAGTGGTTCATTTCTTAACCTCTCCATTAAAGGTTTGAAAACTGATGCAAGATAACTTATCGTTTATGCAAGTCAAGGTTTATGCAAAAGTTCTTTCCCACAACACGTTTCTTTCGTCAAACTATATTTTGAAACGACATGATTAAGGTTTTCTTACTTGGACAGAAATGAGTGTTGCATTCTTCTGTTTCATTCTTTACACCCGCACACGAAGGCCAGCCATGAGCGGGAGGTGGGTTGTTACATAGTCTGAAACGTTGTTGATTCCCCACGCCACAACTCTCTGTACACACCGTCCACCAAGACCAATCTGACCATTGAGCCGGGGGTGGGTCTAGAAAAGGGTATACATTTTCTAATATTTAAATAAAAAGAATGCGACACTTTGTGGAAAAACTCTTCGTAAATTACTTAGAACGTCCTTGAAATGTCGTCGGAACGATAATTAGAAAGCGTTCAAACACGGTTCTGTAATTTATTGGATGCGAAAAACACCCTTCGAGAAAGAACTTAGCCTTGGCTATTGAGCCCCGTTTTCGTGATTTGAGATCTTGAGTTTCGAGTCCTTATCTTGTTACTGAAGGACACATTTACGAAATCACACAGTTATATTAGAAATAACATAAAATACCTTGACAAGTAGGTCATCAGTAAAACGAAAACATGGCTCTATAGCCAAGTCTGAGCACTTTTTGTAAGGGTGTAAGGAAATTAATTTATTAAACTCGATAATGATTTTTCATCTCAGTAATTGGAATGTTTCATTGTCTTTTCATTTTTTAGAAAATCCACTGTCCTCCGTGTCCACTTACTCATTCTTATGACGTCTCATTCTTGAACTAGATATCAACAATTTACCTGGACAGGGGACATAGTCGTACTCATTACATGGCATCACTTCAATATCATGACCAGAACAGTAAAGTCCTCCATTCCTCTGATTCTCACAAACTCTCGTTCTCGTTTCTTCTTGTTCACCACATGTTTTACTGCACAATGACCACGGAGTCCACTGCGACCATGAGCCGTCAACTAGAAATAGTAAATTATACCGTCTGTATTGAAAATATGCTTGTGCCCACTGAAAGGTTTCAAATGAGTAATGGCAGGATCTGCTCTGGCTCAAGCGAGATCAAAACAATATCAAGAACGGGATCTCAACATTGGTGGGGCTCATATCACACATAAATAAATATATTTTTTTTAGTCTCACAAAATCCTTACTTGGACACAATCCAGTATTGCATTCCATAGTAACATTTGTTAAGCTAGCACATTTTTCACTTTCATCAGCCACACACTCTCGCGTTTTATAGGTAACTCCTTCACAATCAGACGAGCATTCCGCCCAGTCTGGCCAAGATGTAAAATGACCATCATCTAGTACGGAAAACAGTAGAATACGTCAACATTACGAAACCTGTTATATTCCACATCTGTCTGCTCTTGTCCTTCGTAGTTGAAATGTAATTCAAAACAAGTAGCGTTAAGGCTGATTTATTGAACACTACACAACTTTGCCTAAAACTTTCTCATGCAACCTACTTACAACTTAAGTTGAACTGTGTAAATCAAGCACACAACTTGCCTATGACAACGTAGGATAGTTTACCTGGGCAGTCAAGCATATTTTCACATTCCTTCATTTGATGGAGAGGTCCAAGACAGTCGCTGCCATCAAACAGTGGCGGAGGATTGGTACAATTACGATATCTTGTGCGTGTTCCAACACCGCATGATGTTGTACATGCTGACCAGCCTGTCCATGGAGTGAAGTTTCCGTTCACTGCAACAAAATTAATTTTATGTTAATAATTTCACAAAGTTACAGTTGTAACATACTTGGCTAAAGTCTGGTTTACACTATCAAAGTTTCTGTGACCACAGTAGGAATTTTGCATAGGTAATTTCTAAGTTTGAAGGATTTGTAAGAAATATTTGAGGAAACTGACTCACTGTTTAACACTGAGACACTTCCCTTAAACATTTCTTACAAATTCTCCAAAACAGAGAATTTACCCAAAATTCTTGCAAAATTCTTACTGTGATCATACAAACTTTGATTGTGTAAATCAGGCTTCACAGATGTAATGTACTTGACTAACGCTTGTATTCTAAAAGCTCACTCACACTCAAAGGGTGGAGGTTCATTCTGAGCTTCCCTTGAGTGTCAATGCTGTTTTGGAATAGCTGGAGGGTTAGTAGTCACATAGTAAGGAACGACACTAACGCCTGTATTCTAAAAGCTCACTCACACTCAAAGGGTGGAGGTACAATCTGAGCTTCCCTTGAGTGTCAATGCTGTTTTGGAATAGCTGGAGGGCGAGTAGTCACATAGTAAGGTACGATACTAACCCTCCAACTACTCAAAAATAGCACTGACACTTAAGGGAAACTCAGATTGAACTTCTACTCATTAAGTGTGAGTGACCTTTTAGAATACGAACATAAGAGTTAGATTTTAGAAGATTGTACTGACTGACTAACATCGACAATCACATGATATATTTCCTTACCTGCACAAAGTTCATCATAACAAGGGATATGCTGCTTGGTAGGACGTGTACAATAACGATCTTCAGCTGGGGGATATGTGGGTACAACTTTACAGTAACGGGATCTTTGACGTGTCCCCTCACCACACGTGACATTACATGCTCCCCAGTTCCCCCACTCTGAAAATTCATCATCGCCTAAAATATTGAATATTAAATCCATAGAACTTTTTCTTTTCATTTGGCGGACTTTCTCTGCCACACATTTTGATTTAAACGCACGTCGTATGAGGCATATTGTTACTCAAGCCATTTACATACATAATTGAAACAGTTGGTTACCTTTGTTCCATTCTATAAGAATTGGGTAGCAAGTATAGACATAGGCTAGCTTATTAAACGTATCAACGGTTTTGCCTTAATTGGAAATGAAACATCTAGAGCACCCTAACCTGGACAGTCTAATGGCAAGGTGCAATCATCATACGCATCAGCATTTCCAAAACATGGTAGACCACCATAGGAAGGAACAGGGTGAGTACATGTACGATGACGTGATTTTGAACCAGAACCACAAGATGCACTACAGATACTCCAAACTGACCACTCACACCAGTCACCATGAACTAACGAAAAATAGATGAGGAATCGTTTCATATTTATTGTACAACATCTACTGACTCGGTTATTGAAACCCACTAACATTAAAAGATGTAAAGATACATACTAGGACATTGTCCTTTGTCACAAGGTTTGCTCTGAGTAGAAGGATCAGAACATTCCTGAGGTTGTGCATCTTCTTTACATGTTCTTGTTCTTATCTGTGTACTGTTTCCACATGTCTGAGTACACAATGTCCATTGAGACCATTCACCATAACCACTTTCACCTGAACAGATGCTTGAATGTTGACAATCTTGAGTTTCGTCACTGCTCCCTGAACATCCAGCACCATTAAAAGCAGGTTCGGGATTACTGCAGGTTCTCGTACGACTTTGAAGACCAGAGCCACAGTATCCACTACATGGAGACCACGGCGTCCACTCCGAATATCCACCATGGACTGAAAAGAATACAAAGTAATATTTCGTGAATTCTGGTGCAAATTATTTGCTACCTTTTTCTCATTACATAAATAACTAGGCATGCGAGTTATCACTTATCATGTTGATTTAAAGAGCTATCTTGTTTTAAAAAAAATAGTTATTCCTGAGGTCATCACTTGAGAACTATATTTGAACATACTTGGACATGGCCCAGCATAACACGTGTTGTTTTGTTTATATGTTCCATTACAAGTTTCCAAAGTAGGATCTATACATTCTCTTGTTCTAAATATTTGTCCAGCTGAACATTCCACATTGCAGGCTGACCATAACGACCAAACTGTAAAACCTAATTCATCTAAAGAAAGAAATAAAAGGTACTGAGAAATGGGGACATATGTAAACATGTTTTTGGCCTCTATTTAAGTTTATTTGAAGGATAAATATTTCAAATTAATAATATTTTACCTTGACAGATGGTTGGCATGGAGCATTCCTTAGCTTCCACAGCCAACCCAAAACAATCACTACCATTGTTCGCTGGTTCAGGATTGCTACATTCTCGTGCTCGTTGTATTGTACCAGAGCCACACGTGACTGTGCAGATTGACCAATCACTCCACTCGGTGAAACCACCATTTACTGGTAAAAGAATGTATAATTAGCACCTTCTTTACTTTCACACAAAGCTAGAAATTACTAGAGACATTATGGAATAGAAAGAACAACTTGTTACCAGTTGCTCTATATCACCAGTAGTTATTCTACCTGGACATGGTGGTGGCAAACATTCCTTGGTTTCCTGTGGAGGGCCTGCACAACCATCTCCAGTGCTGCTTAAACAATACCGAGTCTTGGTCTGGACACCACTGCCACACGACACACTGCACATACTCCAACTGGACCAGGCTGTGTAGCTCAAGTCACCTAAAAATAAGAAATAATAATGTTTGTAAACAACTGACAGACAGAGCTTGTTGCACAACTAAAGTTTGTTTGAAATGTGATGAGACTGAATCGAAGTTTGTCTCAGACACGTGAGGCTCACATGGCACCAACACCAACCTTGGCAATGACAAGTTGAAATAAAAAGCTGCAAACCTGGGCAATCAGGCATGATACAGTCCTGTATTCTTCTAGTTTCACCAGGACAATCATCTCCGCCATGTTGTGGAACTGGGTTGCTGCAAGATCTTGTTTTCTCTTGTTGTCCAGAACCACACTCACTATCACACTCACTCCAATCTGTCCAGTTTGTGAGAGCTCCGTTTACTGCAAGAGGTAATTCGTTTAGCGCTCTAATTCCCCTTTTCGCCGTGAAACGAATCATGGACGTCGTTGGGTCAAACTCAGAGAAATAATTTGCGCTTGATGGTGGGGGATATCACAAGCCCCGAGTTAGAGATGTAATTCCTCTCATAAAAACACAAAACTCTTCACAAGGTAATATCAGGAATACTCAGTAAAACATTAGAGGATTACACCAACACTTACTTGCGCATGGCTTAATATTACAGACATCAGTTTGGTTTTTTTCACCAGTACAAAATGAAGGTCCTGGTATTTCACATTCCCGTGCTCGCCAATGCTGACCGTCTCCACATGTAGTAGTACAGGGACTCCAAGACGACCACAACGAATAACCAAAGTCACCTTAAATGTGAAGGAGAAAAGTTAGTTTACAATTGGAATATTAGTTAGTGACCGTCAGTGTTGCTGTCGTCAGTGTTGCTGTCGTCAATGTTACTGTCGCTGTCGTTGTCGTTTTATTGTTGCACGGGTCAACAACCTATACTACCTTGACATATTATTTCTATAAAGCATTCTTTAGCCTCTGTCCCAGGCCCTTCACAATCAGCGCCACCATAAGCAGGTTTAGGCTCTGTACAATTTCTATGACGTAATTGTTGCCCAGGACCACATGACGTGGAACAAGATGTCCAATTACTCCATGCTGTGTAACTACCGTTCACTAAAAGCAAAATTTGATATTTCGATGTTCAAAGTATTTCGGTGCATAAAGATGTTCAAAGTTCCAATTTTCTAACCTGGGCAATATTTCAAAAGACAAGGTTTTGTTTGTGTTATTTCACCAAGACATCCTGCAACTTCGTTTTCACAAACTCTTGAACGATTTTGAACACCTTGGTTACAAGTCATGTTGCATTCACTCCAGTACGACCAATCACCAAAACCCCCCTCTCCTGCAGAAAATATACAAGAACACAGTTATCATATCACAGGGCCGCAGGTTCCTACCAAGAACCTAAAGTTGCATATTTCGCTTCTGTTCCTCGTTAATAATAATAATAATAATAATAATAATGGATCATATGGCAACTATTGAACTGGCCTGATAATAGTGAGCTGTTCTGTTGGATTGAATAATATTGAGCGACATGTGAAAAATTATCAGTACCAATTTGAGTGTTGACCAACCAACCAAACCGACTGACTCACGCACACCTCAGACAAGACATCACCGAATGTACATACGTAAAAACCTCACAACTTGTCAACAAGATGTGTTCGCAACAGGCTTGTAACAAGCTTGTCAACAAGTTGTAACAATGCTGTTATTTTATCAAGTTGCTACAAGGTTGTCACTCGCAACTTGTTGACAAATTGTTGAATTGTAGGACGATAACAAGTTGTTGGAACAACTTTTAACAAGTCTGTTAAGTTCAACAACCTTGCAGCAAGTTGTCAACAAGCTGGGAACAAGCAGTGCGAACACATCCTGTAATGAACACATCCAGGATTGCTACACGTCTGCTGCAGGTGTGTTACAACTTGTGCATTTTTACGTATGTATCAGACAACACTATCTACCTGGACATTAATGTACCTGGACATACTGTTGCCACTACACAATCCTCAATTTCTTTGCCCACTCCTGGACATTCATCACCACCATATTGAGGTCTCGGATTAGTGCAATCTCTGATACGTTCACGATAACCTGATCCACATGTCGTAATACATGAACTCCAATCACCCCAACTTGTCCAGTTACCATGGACTAGGAAAAATTAAAAAAATATTTCTACAAAATGAATGTTAATTTTTTGTAAATTATCAGCTGTTGGACAGTAGGAAATCTAAACAGACATCAAAATGCTTATATACGACGTAAAGAATCAGTATTATTATGTAAACACAAAGTAAATAGTAGCAATTTACGACAGCAACAGTAGAAGAATTGTACTTCAAAACTATTTCAAATTGCATCTTCAGATTCATTAGTTTGAGAACAAATTTTAACCAGATACGAAAATAGTACCTGCACAAGGCTGAAGCTCACAAGATCGTTTTTGTATAGTTTCAGCAGCAAGACAAAATGATGCTCCAGGATCAACACACTCTCTCGTTCTGTTATTAAATTCCACACCACATTCCTTCTGACATGTCGTCCACGAACTCCAATCATAATATGCTGCAAAAGAAATGTTTAGTATCTAAAGCATTAAACAAACTATCAAAAAATACCAGGCATGGTTCATGTATGATAAGTATTTGATAATTCAACTACACCTGTACAGAAAGTTCCATTTCCTCGGTATCCTTCATCACAGGAACAATTAGCAAACTTTATTTCATCTCGTAACACACAATGTCCATTTTCATGACAATTTGCTTCTTTGCACAAATCTAATAAGACCGTACAATGAACTACTAATGACACGAGTGAATTTCCCAATTTAACACCCTCAATTTAAGTTCTGCGATTTCTCTCGATATCCTCAATCCTAACCCTCAACCTACCTCGAACTATAATCATAACCCTAACCCTAACCCAAAGCCTAATCCAATCTAACCCTAACGACAATCCTAACCTAATCCTACTCTTAACACTAATCTCAATTCTTGTGACGTCGTTTTTGATAGCAATATGGAAAGGTTACATACCAATACAGTGTGTCCCATTTCCTAGAAATCCGTGGTCACAAGAACAGTTTGCAAATTTTATGTCATCATACATGTGGCACGTCGCATTGTCGTCACAATTTGCTGCCTCGCACAGATCTAACAAACAAAAATAGACTAATGAAGCGGGACACACAACGGACTAAAAATGGTAAATGATTTACCTACCAAAGCAATGTGTTCCATTCCCTCCAAAACCTCGGTCACAAGAACAGTTTGCAAACTTTATGTCATCATACATACGGCACGTCGCATTTTTATCACAGTTTGCTGCCTCGCATAAATCTAACAAACAAAAATACACCAGTGAAGCGGGATACATATAACGATTAAAAATGGTAAATAATTTACCTACCAAAGCAATGTGTTCCATTCCCTCCAAAACCTCGGTCACACGAACAGTTTGCAAACTTTATGTCATCATACATATGGCACGTCGCTTTGTCATCACAATTTGCTGCCTCGCATAAATCTAACAAACAAAATTAAAATACACCAGTAAAGAGGGAGAGACATATACGAAAATACAAGTGTGAGGAAGGCTGGGAAATATAAGAATTTCTGTAAAATGTTAGTCCCTTACATACCGTAGCAGTATGTTCCATTCCCATGGTAGGCGTAGTCACAAAAACACTGGTAGCCAGTCGCCTTACTGCAATGAGCATGGTCATCACAGTTGGCAGCAATACATCGATCTAGAGTAAAATGAACAGATTATATAACAACATTAAATAACTGCAACGCGGTTCTTCAATACAGAATCATCTTTCATCTCTGTGATCTCTGGGTTGTATGATTACTACATAAAGCGACGTTTTTGTCAACAAGGTCGTCACCTGAAAATTGGTATAACTAGTTTTGGCGCCATTTTGTATCATAGCGCTCGTGCAAGGAAGAAAAAAATTTTTAAATCTTATGTTTTCTCATATATGTTGAAGATTACCACAAACTGACACAACACAGTTTGTGTTGACAAAAACGTTGCTTGTTTAAGGTGGCTCCCTAATGCTTTTCAGTAGCGTGTGAGAGGAGTGACGCGGGACCTTTAGGAAGAACAGTTTAGAACTGATAGCGCTTGCAAGTGTAAATAAAATTAGCTTAATTTAGGTTTCGTTCTGTAGTCGAATCGATACGACATTACCCTTCCTGGAGCTCTAGGAAAAACAGTTTAAAACTGATAGCGCCAACCTCGTTCCCAGCTTGCAAGTGTAAATAGAGTTTCACCAGTTCAACCGTGAATCTATAATCCAAGGTTGAACAGTATACCTTCACAGAATGTTCCATTTCCTTGAAAATCTTCATGACAAACACATTGATAGTTCGTATTCTGGCCACATGTAGCATTATGATGGCAATTTGATACTTGACATATATCTGATGAATTCAAAATATTTACAGTTCCTACGTTATATAGAGTAGAATTGAGTAGCATTATTTCTTAGTATTTACAGTATAATTACTGTGTGCAATTAGCTCTCTGTCAAGACTGGCTGTGGTGACGTAGTGACCAGTGCATGTGTCTCGACGCCAGGTTGCATTCCGACCTGCTAGGCAAGTTGTCTGATTATAATTTGAGAAGAGTGCTTCCAGTTTGATTCTTCAAAACACCGTAGATTCTCACTGAACGGTCCTCCTATGATAACACTGAACCACCCTTACTGACCTCTAGGGAGAACAGTTTAGAACTAATTGAGCATTCTAAAGGTGACAAAATTTGTGGTAACAGTGCAGCTATAATGTACTCAAACTAAGTAGTGTACTACCTTCACAAAACTGTCCGCTGCCTTGCCAACCCTCTTGACAAACACATTTATAGTTTGTGTACTGCCCACAAGTTGCTTTTCCATGGCAATTTGAGACCTCGCATATATCTAATAATGGAAAAACATTTGCTGTAGCCTTGACCAGAAACTATACTACATTTGGCGTGCTTATAGCCTCAGGTTTTTCAAAATGTGGAAAACAACGGGGAAATTCGATATTTCGAGCAGAAAGCAGGCTATGTCAATTAATTGAAGAAGACTTTCTATAACACGGATCATGATCAAGCGTGGTTACTGTGATTTATGATAATATTCATGCAAGGTTGGTTTGGATTACGGTTAGGATACAGCGGTAACGGTCAGAACAATGGCGGACAAGTTGTGAAATATGGGGGGGGGGGGCAAATAGGGTGTCAACATATGACCGCCTTTTGTAGGTGGAAATCTTAATCTTTTTAAACTTCTTGCCTCAAATTTTATGCAATATTTAGTTTAATTTATAGCCTACCAATGTTTCCATGGTTGAAAATATTATTGTTACAGCTTTGCTATACAGTTATTCAGTTAGCAATCAAAAATCATTCGGGGTGCCCCTGCGTGACCACTACTGGGTGAAAGTTAGTGTTATAGTAAAGGTTAGATGTTGCATGACGTTATCATAAATCGTAAAAACACTAACCAAAACGATACAGGCCAAATCTTAGTGGGGATATAACCAAACCCTGAAGAAAATTTAATTTACACAAACCTTCACAGAAAGTACCGTTGCCTTGGAAACCAGGCTTGCACTGACATGCAAAATTTGAAGATTGACCACAAGAAGTTGCATCACTATGACAATTTAATTCGTCGCATATATCTACAATTGAGCAAAATTTACGCATTGAGATTTGTTGGGACGCTTGCCTAAAAATATAAAATAAACTTTGATGGGCGATGACGTCATCATTTGAGTACAGAAGAAGCTACCTTGCTAGCTCACCCTTTAATTAAGACACTAGACAACCCCTGATTCACCATTGATTAACCCCTGATCACCCTTGATTCATCCCCGGTCACCCCCTGATTCACCCCTGGACTGGAGTGTCCAAGTGTTTGGTCGTTAATGTTTGACATGCTATATATGGTATATTTAATAATGAAAATATTATACTTTGTCCGCAAAGCTTTCCTTTAAAACCAGCAACACAATCACAAACAACTGGTTCTCTTTCTTCCAGACGACATGGCGCGCCATTTAAACATGGTAGTCGAGTCTCGCAAAAATCTAAATAAATTATCACAATAATTAATTAATAACGCAAGGTGTGATTATCCAAGTCACCGACCCAAGAGATGACCCGCAGAGTGGAGATGGCAACCTCGTTCCCAGGGTCTCTCCTTCTGTCATCTGGGAGAGATGATCTTTCCCAAAGAAAGATCCTGGGTACGAGGTTGTGGAGATGGTTGTATAAAATTTCAGTTAAAGTTAAAGTGCGAAAGTTAAACAGTCAAAATTGATCTGGTGCGTATTTTAGAATTAATTTCTATCTCCTAACTATAGTGATTAAAAAATAGTTTGGGGTTAGACTCCACTCTTTGCATGAATTTATAGTGAAAGGGAGACCCCCCCCCCTAATGATAAGTCTAGACGCTCTCTATTAGGCACACCCAAATGAAGTTCTTACCTGTATCAGAGCATCCTCGAACTTCAACCCTTGCACACTTGTTGAGCTCGTCATTGTACTCCAGTATTTGAAACTTGACAACCGATGCCAATACAGGCGCGTCCAGAAAATAATCCACTCTATCCTGTCCTGTTTTCATTGTTCCCTCAAATTCCTGCAAAACATGAAACGACCCAGGTTAATATCAGGATTTCGGTAACTTCCCGATGAAAAGGACCTTCGCTCGAAAAGTCCCTCTCAATTCGGCAGTTTTTTGCTGTTATTGTCACTACCTAGCACAGACCGTTGGAATAAAATCAATAGGTTACTGTATAATAGACAATTCCCATTATAGACTAATTTTAAAACTAGGCAAGGAGATGCAAATAAATCACCACAGCTGGAAGGAGCATACTAAAATGAGTAAAACTGCAAAGTTTGGTTGCGAAATGTTGTAAATATAGCCTTGCCAAGTTTGTACATTTTGTACACTTTTGTATTGCGTGCGGAAATTGCTACCACATTCCAGGGCGCTGTAAACTTGCTACACCATTCCAGGGTGTTTTACAGCGCCCTGCACATTCCTACCACATTTGGGCCGAAAATGGTAGCACTTTCCGCACGCAATACTGACAAACGTATACATGTATGCGAACTTGTGACCCTAAACAATTGAATATTTCTGAAGTTGCGGCCATCTGTTCCCTGCTAAGCGCCAACATACCTCAGCTCCGTTTATCAGAACCGGAGACCAAGGTTGCCAATAATATAGTTTGAAGAAAAATTTGAATTTCTTGACAAATATTTCTGTCGCCGTATCGGTCGATCCTCCAATGGCAAACCCATAGATATTGTGTACGAGGGTAAAATTCAGTTCAACAGAGTTCTCAGTATCTGTCAGTTCCGTACACCATAATTCAGGAGTGTCCAGTCTATATGTTGTTGAAGCATCGTTGTTTTTGTCCGAAGACACTACGACATCTCCAGGAAGGAAGTCAAGTTTCTCGTGGCATTCAGCTGTTAAAATGTGTGATCACTGGTAAAGCCTAGTTTACACTATCAAAGTTTCTGTGATCACAGTAGGAATTTTATATAGGAAAATTCTAAGTTTTGAAGGATTTGTAAGAAATGTTTGAGGAAACTGACTCAGTATTAAACACTAGGTAAGTTCCTTCAAACATTTCCTACAAATCCTTCAAAACTTAGAATTTACCTATGCGAAATTCCTACTGTGATCACAGAAACTTTGATAGTGTAAACCAGCCTTTAAACTGGATGGACTTTCAGGCATTACTAAGGACAAATTGACCAAATTATTCGCTTTCTAACGTACAATGTTGGAATTTACATTTTGAGATGCCTCAATATTGAAACTATTGCTATAAAACCACGGATGTGCATGGATCTCACAATTAATAAAAAAGAAACTGGAATAACACTAAACGTGGGTTATATACCAATCATAGCAAATAAAATAACAAACTAAAAAGTAAATTTTTTTTACCAATTTCACATGTGGGTCCAGAAAACCCCGTCCTGCACCGACATGTGGATTCATTTCCTTGGGTTCGTTCACATGTTCCACCATGAAGGCAGGGATGAGAGTGGCAAGGTTCCTGGCGGTCTAGATAAAAAAAAGATGGTAAAAGTACTATTTAAAACACGCGTAGGAGTGTTTTATCATATTTAACAATGCAAGTGCGCAGCACGAGCATTTTAGATATGATAAAACACGACTACAAGTATTTTGAACAGCTTCAAACACGACTACAATAGATGCCGTCTCATTAGTATACTTTATATAAAGAATACTAATTAGGATGGACTTTTATACAAAGAATACTAATGAAGACGAGTTTTATTAGGTATAAAGGCTCTTCACGTGACATATTATGGTTAACATGATTTGCCAATAAGCTTATGAATTATTAATAAGTGTTTGATGATGGTGATGAAGTCAAATGACCTTTAATGTCTTTTAACGAAAAACAAACTTACCACAAGCAAGCAACTCAACTCTTAAACATTTCCTGGTATCTTCATTCCCTAGCAGAATCTTCACATTTTTTTTATCATCATACAGTGGAATAGGATCATCAAGAAACTGCACTGTTTTCGTATCTCCATCAAAGTTCCCAAGAGCTGTCTGCAAGAAAAAAACATATATAGCTACGAGAGAACTAAACCCAGCCCATTTCACCTCATAAATATTTCCATACATCTTTTCCATTGATTCTCTCATATTAATACACAAGTAATTCTGATTAGTATCAACAGGATTTCCCGATTGACTTAACGGACTATGCTAGGCGGATATACGTTAAACTAGACACCTGGTTAGAATTTAAGAGGAGATTTTTTTGTATGTTACGTAACACGCGCTCAAAACTAATGCGTATAATATACCACTTGAGGTTATGACTAAATTCAAAATTTTTATTTTTCGATACGTTTCTCAATCGGCAAACAAACTTAAAAAGTATGTTTAGTGCTATATCTGTAAAATAATGCCAATATGAAGAGATTTTAGATGATACGCCAAAGAGAAAATGATGTCTGTTCTGAAAGAAACAGACTCGCAGAAATACATAAACTAAACCAGCAGGTTAAATTTTAACCCAGAGATAGCGCTCTTTCAGCTTTGAACAACCGACCCCTAAAGTAAATTTTCAACGTACGTTTTTCCCACCAGCTGTGTGGATTGTAGTGCCCACCATTACAGTGTAATATCTTGTATAAAAGTGATTACTGTCTTGCTTCAATCCTTGGGTAACAAGTCCAACAACTTCCAGCTGCATTCTTGGCAGTTTAAGAACAAGTTTTGGATCACTATCTCCATTACTTGGACACCAGGCACTGTCGCCGTCCAAACGCGCATTAAAAGATTTCATAGTACCACTTCGAAACGAAGATGAACCAAATTTGTCTTGTGGAAACTCGTTTTCGTCTTTAATTCCCAAGTGGTGAAAATACTCTGCAGCTTCACCAGGATTGGAATTTCCTGTAGAAAAGAAATGAGTTGATGGAAAGCAGGCATCTAGATGTAATCTCCACGTGTATAACACGTGTACACGGTACAACTTACCACAGGGAGCTCCATACAGTTCAACTCGCAGACAAGCATAGTCTCCTTGGAAAGCTGTCACCACAAACTTCACGGCTCTTGCGACAATTACTTCGTCAAACATGCGTTCATGAACAACATTTCGACCTGTAAACGTCTGAATAACAAAACAATCTCATGATCAACTATTATTGTAGCGTAAATACCCTATTTATCCCTCCCTCAATTGTACTAATAAGCATTCCTTTCTTATAACCACCTCTCTTTAAACGCCTCTTTAATAGAGGGCTATTACACCACACTCTCTCTATAATACGCCCTCTCTCTAATACACCACCCCCTCTTTATAATACGCCCTGTCTCCAATAACCCGCATTCTAATAACCTTTCTGTAATAAGCCCTCCTCTCTAATACGCCCCCTCTCTAATAACACCACCTCTATAAACCTCCTCCCGCCCTTCTCTCGAGTAACCCCCGTTTAATAACGCACCCTCTAATAACCCCCTCTCTAATACCACCCCTCTATCAAGCCTCCCCAATAACACCCTCTCTAAAAACACCCCCTCTATCAAGCCCCCTAATAACACCTCTCTAATGTCACCCCCTCTATCCAACCCCCTAATAACATCTCTCTAATAACACCTCTCTAATAACACCTCTCTAATAACACTCTCCCCACCAAGCTCCTCTAATAATCTCGTCTCTAATACGCCACACTTCCTAATAAGCCCTCTCGAATAAAACCCCTCTAATAATCCTCTCTAATAAGCTCTCTCGCACATCTCAAAGAAGGAATTTATTAAACCCCGTCTCTGTGTAAATAAGCACACGGGACTTAGTTGACGATTTGCAGTATTCTTGAAAGTTTTTAAACAGATATAGAAGAAAAAAGCACACTTACGACTTGTTCAGTTGCTATATCCCTAAATGAAGAACTTTCCAACATTTTTCGTTGAAATTTGAACTCGGTGACAAAATTATCGGCGCTCGGGTCACCTTGAATTGCGTAGCCCAAGATACAGTTTTTTCCCCCGAGCGAAATTGTTAAGATACGCTCAACATCCGAGAGTGACGCACACCAAGCAGAGCTTGGGTTATGTAGTCGTGCTTGTGAGGCGTTGAAATTTTCATTCACTTCTGAAGTTGCTTCAAAGTTTTCATCAGGTACAGTGCGGAGGTCATGGCTTAGTCCGTATCTTTTAGGGCATTTCATGCGCGACATTTGATCTGCAAAAACAACATTTCGTTGTAGCGCAGAGGTTAAGACGAGGAAGAAAGTTGATGAAAGTTGATGAGACACTCGTGCACTCTCATCAAGTTTAAACAGGTTCAAATTTTAAAGAGAGTTTAGGAGAGTTTTCGCTATCGCGCGGTAATATCCAGTCAAGTCTCTGATGCAACTCCAGTTCTTGTTTGACCGGGGCATGCATGAGTTGAGAAAACTCTCATGCAAACTGTCATTTCCCAACTTTCATCAACTTTCATGCAAATTTTGTTCTCGTTTGACCGACGCATTAAAGTTGAGAAAAGTCTCATGCAAACTCTCGCTTCTCAACTCTCCCCAACTCTCATACAACTCTTGTTCTCGTTTGACCGGGACATGAGAGTTGTGAAAACTCTCATACAAACTCTCGCTTATCAACTCTCATCAACTCTTGTTCTCGTTTGACGGGGGTATGAGAGTTGAGAAAACTCTCATGCAAACTCTCGCTTCTCAACTCTCATCAACTCTCATGCAACTCTTGTTCTCGTTTGACCGGGACATGGGAGTTGTGAAAACTCTCATACAAACTCTCGCTTATCAACTCTCATCAACTCTCATGCAACTCTTGTTCTCGTTTGACGGGGGTATGAGAGTTGAGAAAACTCTCATGCAAACTCTCGCTTCTCAACTCTCATCAACTCTCATGCAACTCTTGTTCTCGTTTGACCGGGACATGAGAGTTGTGAAAACTCTCATACAAACTCTCGCTTATCAACTCTCATCAACTCTCATGCAACTCTTGTTCTCGTTTGACGGGGGTATGAGAGTTGAGAAAACTCTCATACAAACTCTCGCTTCTCAATTCTCATCAACTCTCATGCAACTCTTGTTCTCGTTTGACCGGGACATGAGAGTTGTGAAAACTCTCATACAAACTCTCGCTTATCAACTCTCATCAACTCTCATGCAACTCTTGTTCTCGTTTGACGGGGGTATGAGAGTTGAGAAAACTCTCATACAAACTCTCGCTTCTCAATTCTCATCAACTCTCATTCGCGTTTTACCAGGGCTTTAGTGCATGTAAGTTTCACGTTTGTCCCCAAGATGCGAGTCTAGCAGTATTATGTAGTTGTCTGTTTATGATTTCACCTGATCACATGCAGACATTCCAGTTTAACTAAAATTGTTAGGTTTTCTTCTGATACTCCAGTATCCTCCTCGATATTCTTCGTTGCAGTTTGTTCACAACTTGTTACAGTCCAGCAGTACGCTTGTTACAAAACTGTTTTCTAACAAGCTGGTAACAAGTTTTGTTCGCACTACTTTTTCTCAGCTTGTTGACAAGTTGTTACACGCCAGCAGCAGCTTACAAACCACTTGTTACAAATGTCCTGTACCAAGTGCTTTCAAATCTCAACTCAGCAACTTGTTAACAAGTTGTTATAAAAAAAAACTATTAAATAGTCCTTTGAATCACACTTACTTTGAGAACAATCAAAACCAGCATAAGGGAATTTACATTCACAGCCAGCATGGTTTGAAAGCTGATGGCATTGAATTGCTTTAGACTCACATGGATTGCACGAACTTATATCTGAAAATAGAAACATTATATTGTTTATAACATAAACATAGTTACGATTTACAATCGAACACAACTGACGCTGAAAAGAACCGGAAGTTGGACATATGCTTTGTCCTCTTTTATTATCGCAAACGCTCTAATAATCTTCTAATAAGCCCCTCCTAAATATAATACACCCCATCTCTCTAATAAGCCCCTGCTAGAGATAATATACTCATCTCTCTAATAAGCCTCTCCTACAGATAATACACCCATCTCTCTAATACGTCCCTCCTACAGATAATACACCAATATCTCTAATAAGCCCCTCCTAGAGATAATACACCCATCTCTCCAATAAGCCCCTGCTACAGATAATACACCAATATCTCTAATAAGCCCCTCCTAGAGATAATACACCCATCTCTCCAATAAGCCCCTGATACAGATAATACACCAATATCTCTAATACGCCCCTCCTAGAGATAATACACCCATCTCTCCAATAAGCCCCTGCTACAGATAATACACCAATATCTCTAATAAGCCCCTCCTAGAGATAATACACCTATCTCTCTAATAAGCCCCTGCTACAGATAATACACACATTTCTCTAATAAGCCCCTCCTAGAGATAATATACCCATCTCTCTAATAAGTCCCTCCCAGAGATAATACACCCATCTCTCTAATACGCCCCTGCTAGAGATAATACACCCATCTCTTTAATAAACCCCTCCTAGAGATAATACACTCATCTCTCTAATAAGCCCCTATAAAAATATTCACACAGGGAAGTATGGTGTTAGAAATAGGTCTTATCCTTGACCCCACTTACCTGTCTCACAAAAATCACCATCAAAGTTAACAGGGCACGTGCACATTCGTTTTTGTTCATCATCATAGCAGGACCCCCCGTTTTGACAGGGGGACGACATCATACATCGTGTCATCTGTGCTGAGAAAGAAACACTATGAGTTTATAAGTTATGAGAAGATTTAAGATTTGATCGTCAATTTCTAAAATTGCTGTAACAACTGAATTGGAAACGGGGGGAGGGCATAGGCGTATGAAACAAGGGGGTAACTGGCCCTCCTCCCCCCCCCAAAAAAAAAACACGAAACTTTAGAAAACCATGGAAATTCGGGCAGATTTATAAAATGTTAAATTCAGGTTATTTCATTTCAATCCTCCCTAAAACGTCGGCCAATCGTTCAACTGCCCTCCAGAAAGCATCAGCCCCGTACGTATTCCCGGGGGGCGGGGCACCCACAGACGCCATTGGTGTTCATTTTGGATCATTCCTGTTACTCGCATTCACACCAAGTGTCTGTGAAATACATTTGGCGTATCCGGCAATGGCTGTGAACGACGCCACCACCACTTCCAAAAATAAGAAATAGATTTCTTACTTACTCCTGCAATACTGGCCCGTGTAACCTTCGTTACAAACGCAAGTACCGGTTGTCGGACACCATCCATTAGTGCCACACTGACTTCCATGATTACAGTATGGCCATGGCCACCAACCTCAATTAATGAATAATTTAAGAGTAAATACCCAATCAAAAAATCGCACTGGAGTTACATGTATACCCGCTATTCTCCTCTGAACTGACAAACACTCACAACTGCGAAACCTCGAGCTCTGGCACAAAATACGCAATGGACGTGTTGATGTTTTCCTATTTCTAGTTTTCGTAACACTTTGCCTTCATCAATCATGCCCCCATTCGGCACGTCTAATGTGCTTCTCGTGCTTAGAAGTCGAAGTTTTAACTTTAAAAGAGCTTAATTGAATCAGATCTGCATGCAGATTTGCTCCAAGTCTCTCTCTCTCTGGGAAGCCTGTACATTGTATACACGTAAAATGTACAAACTTGCAGCAGACTTGTACCAATGCTGTTTCAGGATGTATTGGTACTGCTTGTTCCCAGCTTGTTGGCGAGTTTTCTATGGCTTGCTGAAAACTTAAGCTTTTCCGTGCAGGATTGCGTGATCCATGTACAAGGGATGTCGCGAGACTTTCGGAAAGCGTAAAAATACTCGAGCCGCAAGCGAGTGTATTTTCACGCTTTCCGGAAGTCGAGCAACATCCCAAGTGCATGGATCACGCTATCTTGCTTGGAAAACCATTTGGTAATTGTTTTATAAAATAACTACAGTCAAACAATGACATTTTGAGAATCCCGCCAAAATCCCGCGAAGGCATTTTAATCGAGGCTATCCTGCACGGCTATTGACCAATCAAATTGCGTGTTTCACTGTAGTTATTATATAAAAGTAGTTTCAATGGCTTGTTATCGTCCTGCATTTCAAAAACTTGTTAACAGGTTGTGATAAAATGACAACATTGTTACAAGTCGTTGACAAGGTTGCTACAAGCCCATTGCGAATAATTTTGTTGACAAGATGCGAGTTTTTTAGTGTAATTCAGAACTCAGATACAAGAAAGGTATCCCTGCCCCTCTGGCTACCTACGGCTTTAAATCATTAAGGGCCCTTTGCATAATATTTCTCGTATCACAAATATAGTACTCAGATCCAGTCACCATCCAGTGATCGAAATGCACCCTTTTGACATGGCTGTGACGTTACCAAACGTTCTACGACACTTACCGAGCACCTCACGGTAGAGAACGGACGACAAAAGAATTAAGATTAACTGCATTTGCCAACAAATCTTTCTTGCACCTGACAATTTCATGGCAAATACGAACTATAAAAGATGTGTTTAAAAAATGTATATTACAAACTTAAACTTGGTCATGCGAGTTTTAAACCGACCAAAACACATTTAAAAATGTCGAGCCAAATTTACCTCCTTTGTTTGCCGCCCCCCCCCCCTTTTGTTTCGGAAAAAATTGCCCAAACCTGAAAGCTTACTCCAACGCGTGTTAAGTAGAAATGTGCAGCCATGCTGTTTTTTAAAAATTCTCAAACATTTTTGTTCCAAGATTGTACAGCCTAAAACTAGCCATGTAATCAACACATATAAATAGAGCTTTTATGAAGTTCGTTATAGATACTCCAGTATACGTCTAAAGGCACATTTACACTACATAACTTTTGCCTAAAACTGTTGCATGCAACCTGCTGACAAGTTGAGTTATACTGTCAAAATCAAGAACTCTCCAATGACAACGTACGCAAGTTGTGTGCTTCAGTACAACATAAAAATAACTAAAATAATAAAATGAAATAAATATGCAAACCGTTTTGCAAGATTGCGTGATTTATTCGCACATTTATTCCTTCTTAATACCCTGTTGTCTATTACCACATCCACGTAACCAATTATCCTACCTGCAGGCCTTATAAATGAGACTAACACTCTTAATTAACTTTGTTACATAGCAATCCGTTATACAGCTTCAGACACGCATTACCATTACTGAAAAGATACGAAAGTCTTTATACTTAGGTTGTCAAGTTCAGTAAGCACAAACATTGGTAGTTTTGGCAACAGCAAAGTTAAGCCCGCCGCACACAAGAGCAACTTGCTGAGCTAACCGCCTCGCATGGCGGTTAGCTCAGCAAGTTGCTCTCGTGTGCGGATAGTTTTCATGAGGATTTGACCTCTCGAGGCCTTGAGGAAAATATCTATCGTGTTTGATATTTTTTCACCTCGCGAGGAAAAAATCTCAGCGTCTGCGGATGTTGTGAGCTAAGTGCTGAGCTGTTTGAATCAATTAGCCAATGACAAACCATAGTTTCTTGATGCGACTTGGAACAAAAAGGAGGAATATGCAAATGTTTTGTCAATTATATTGTTGTTGAGTAGTTTTCCCAACGTGTGCGGTAAGCTAGCTGTCACGCGAGGCGGTTAGCTCAGCAAGTTGCTCTCGTTGTGCGGTAGGCTTTATTACACACTTCAAGACAACAACCTGTCGTTTAGTGGTCAGAGCTATGCCTAATCAAACAGGTTTGTTTATCACATCTCGTACTCTTCTTCCCTAATACCCAATTCATTCACTCGCTTTTCACCATTTGCATGCATTGAACCTAAACATTTTATTTTCCTATTTTTTATTATAAAAGGACACTGGGTTCCTACAAGCTAATGCGACTATTAAGTACACAGGTAATAAACCGAGAACGCGGGATATAAAGTCATATATTGACCGAAGGAGTCGTAGGCTCCGAGAGTAAATATCTTATATCCAAAGTTCGAAGTTTATAACCAACTTATTTACTAGTTGAGGAGGTTTTTGAACAAGGTTTCATCAACTTCAAAGACTTTCAATCAAGATTATTTATTCACTGCTTAGAAGCTGTAAACACCCTTCGGTACATTGTTATTGTAAGCAATTTTTTATCAATTAGACTCTTGCAGCTCTACTATAAAAGCAGCGTGTTTCCAAACTCTCCTAACGAAACAGCTTTGCAAAAAACTGCGAAAAAATTGTGCAAAATATAAGAATATAACAAATATTTATACACTAATTAAAAAAAAATGTCAGATCGGCAGATTCAAACAGGCAAGGTACCAACGGGACTCTTAGAAAAGGGCCCCACGCATACAAGGCACCTACCGTCAGAATAGAAATCATAGAGTGATTTTTAACACTCTTAATTTCTCAAATTACTCTATGAATCGATTAAAATGTAGTCAAAAGCTTGAATATATTAAAAATGTTTCTCTCATTATACTATATCAGTCTAATAAATTTTAAATATTATTATAATTTTCGATCATTAAGAGGCAGACTTGAAGCAATTCTAAATCTATAATTGTTACAGGTGTTTCAACTTTCAATTCACTTATACTAGGTGTAAATGATCTGCAATGATTATACCATCTTGGTGTTGCAGTAACACCCTCTATTTCCTGTAGTAAGGACCTATTCAGCAATATATGATTACCAGTACTAATTAATTAGTGGTAAAACGTTGCTAACACAAGTGTTACAAAACAGCCGGTGGCAGGCAGTCAACCTTAGGAACACTTATAGAGAGCAAATTAAATGAAACGGGAGATGAAAGAATAAATAGATATATCATATAAAAAATGTACATTTTCTAAAAGTTCATTTACATTTTTAATAATTTATTTCATCCATAAAACCTGGCCAGGTTTAAATTTATATTACAGAATGAAATGTATAATTGCCCGTGCCATAATCCTTTATGTATATAACAATATAATAAGTAAATTAATAAAAATTCTTCTTAATTTATTTATAACACTTGTATATTTATTGTAATTAGTACTAGAAAACAACGAGCGATTTTATGGATTTATAAATATTAATCATCATTATTATTACAAGTCTTTCTTTACTTTACAAGCAGCCAAAAGCAAAGACGAATACCTTTTACGGCTTGTTATATTTTTAACAGAGTTTTGGGAAACGTTTGTCGCAGTGCAGTGGTTCGTATTATTTTGGCTTGCGTTAGGGTCATGTTTGGAATTAGGGGTAGGGGGAGGTTTTAGGGTCAGATTTGCAATTGCAATCAGAGTTAAGAATGGAGATCTAACGTTTAACTAAATCACTGGGCTCTATTGATGAGCCTCTGATATAGCTATCTTCCGATAATCTTTCCTGGGAGATTGGATGAACCTGGGGCGATCTCTGTATTTTGAGATATTTTGGGATGGATGTGAGCCATCCCTCCGACCTTTCATCATCGTACATTGCCGTGTTAACTTCGGGACTCACTCGTGCTCGTCGTTGATTGACGGCAGTAACTGACTTTCGTCTCTTAATTTCGGCTTTGAAATGCCAAGTGTTCTTACGTTCACGTATATGTCTCTCTCTGAGTTCAGTGATTTCGTGTTGCAACAATGAAGTGAAATCTTCCAATATCGCTCGGCCATCTGATTTTAGAAATTCTGCTATCCTCAGTGAAGGGATTTGTTCTTCTAGAAAGTAGGTTTATTTTAAGTTATTTCAAGGTTATGAAGTTATGTTATAGGTATACATTTTGTTTGTTAATCTTTAATATATTTATCGATTATGCATCTACTTCGTTGTTAGCGAATTTAATATGTTATATTTTAATAAATAGTTTATCATACAGGTTAGAATACAAATACTTAAAAAATTAATAATTCAGGAGCAAAACACAAAGAAAAATCATAAGCGTGTCGTGGTTTTATATGTGAAAAAAATCATGTTAATTTACATAAATTTTAGCGTTGATTTTCTCGGTTTAGACAAAGTTTATTTTAAAAATTACTTCGCCAATGAACTCGTATAAGATGAGTCGTTTTTGAAGCCATTTAAAGCACTTGTAGTCGTGTTTTATCACATATAAAACACTCCGCTACGCGTCATGTGTTTTATATGTGATAAAACACTCCTACGCGTGTTTTAAATAGTATTTAAAAAACTCATTAACAATTGAAGAAAAGACAAATAAAATCACTGCCGTGTCGATGGTTTAATATGTGATAAAAAATCATGTTCATTTACATAAACTTTAGCTTTGCTTTTCTCTGCTTAGACAACGTTTATATTTAAAATTTCTCCGCGAATGAACTCATAAGATGGGTCGTTTTTTAAGCCATTTAAAACATTCGCAGTCGTTGCTTTATCAGCTATAAAACACGCGGCTGTCGCCTCTTTATATCTGATAAAGCACTCCTGCTCGAGTTTTAAATAGTACTAGCGATGACAACATGAAGGTGGTCGACAGTTCAGTAATAAATAAAATATTACGGCCGTTTATCAATAAAATCAAATATGAAAAACTTACCTAATTCTTCCAGCTGCTTTTCTTTATTTTTCATTTTCCTTCTATATCTTCCAAAATGCCAGATCAATCCAGCCACAACTGCGGTCACCAATAAACTGACTGTCACTTTAAATGAAGTTGTAAATGCTTCAGAAGTTGGATCAAATAAACCTGAAGATTTCTCCTTCGCTTCTTCAGCCTCGTTTCTGTCCTGTGAAGACAAAATATGAATTCATGAAGACAAAGGTGGCTCCACGATATCCTAAACTTAAGTTAAGGGGCCAGTTGTATAAAAAAGTGATTAAAGTTAACTATAGTTAGTGGAAACGTCATCCAATAAGAAGCGCGTATTTGAGAGTTAATCACTATTTAACTACAAAATAGTGATAAAAAAACTGTTTAAGAGTTTTATACAACCGGCCCCTGGTGTACAGGTCCAGTCATCCCTCACTGGTCCAGTGTTACTGCAGGAGGAAACCAAGTACAAGCGATAAGAGAAGATAAACTGTAAATAAGTTGTCACACTAACCAGCTGAATACTCTCTGTATTCCCTTCAACAATTTCAGAAATCTTATTCTTGTGTGTTGCGAGAGCTTCCCGGAATAAGGGCGCAGCTTTAGCCATGTCTCCAGACAAGATAAAACCATAACCTGTTGGATACTCAATCAAACGATTCAACTGAATATCTCCTCCATCAAATGAGTCTTTCTTCGTCGCTGCTGCATACATGTCAAGTAAAGCTCCAGCAATTTCTTTATTGTGCATTGCGTTGATAACATCTTCCATGTTATCGAAACCAACAACTGTTGAAAATACACACAACATTAATGATCGAACCGTGCTGTAAAATACTCAGGCTCCAAGATTCGGTAAATGTCTTACCGTCTGCATTCTGTCGAACTGCCTTGCTGTATTCAGCAGAGTTTTCTATGGCGCCCACCTTAAAACAAAGAAACAATGAATTCTTAATTCAAAGATTACTCTATTTACTCGATCTCAACATTTAGTTAGTAAAAAAAGTCGTCTCTCATGTAAAATCCTTTATCGCACCTGTGCTCCATATAATTTATCTTCCTGTACAACCAAAATTGAAGTAATTGACGTCACAATTCCTCCAGTTACAATCGAGATAATCACAAGACCCATTAAGACCCAGACGATCGCAAAAAGACGACCTGGTATGGTGACTGGACTGCGATCTCCGTATCTGAAACAGTAGTAAGTTTAACTTAGTTTAATTTCAGTTCAGGAGGCGGGGTGGAAAAAATAGGCGAGCACGCGAACACTTCTCGCAGGAAGTGTTAAACAGCTGCAGGGAATTACTTTGAATGAAGATTTGCTATTGAAAATTTGGAGGAAACCTTGACATCTATGTCCCACCATGGGCGCAACAACATATGGTTGACAGACATTATTCCTTGAATTTAAAACCATTGTCAGCTAGAACACTATTTGTTTATATGCACATGCAAATTTAGCACAAAAATTTTGTCTCCAGGTTTTTTTTCCAGGATGAATTTTTTTTGCTGCCCTGTCCAGGAACCTTGCTTGAATTTCATAACGGCTTAACTAGTTCTGCTTACCCTACTGTTGTCATGGAGATGTACGCCCACCAAAATCCTTCTGGAACTCCTTTAGTGAATGGATCTGGAAAATGTTCTGTATTGTGCTTTCGTTCCTGTGAAGTTAACATAGTTGAAATGTAAACAACAGATTTTTCAGAGGGGAAATGGTATAATATCAAACATGAAGTTCTTTCCAAAGATTCACACTTGTTATATCTATAAAGTTTAGTAGTTCCGAAACCAGAAGCAGCCGACAATTTAAGGAAATAAGGTAAAAAACAAAAACCGAAAATGAAAACATCGTGAGAACAAAAAATGGAACAAAACAAGACTAACATAAATTTACATAAAACATGATTGAAGCAATTTATTTCGATTTGTAACATAACTCACCAAGACCCAAATAACAATCCCAGCCATCCAGGCAAACATTATCATGAGTAAAACCATTGGTAAACACGCTAACGCCGCGGTGACGACAACTTCAGCCGTTGAGGGAACATTCTTGACAGTAAAATAAGCAGAACCAGGCGCATCCACAACAGAAATAAACGGAAACACGCCACCATAGGTTGTCATAAATCTATTGCCTTGAACTGGAAAACTGACTTCAACATTCTCATCAATATTCGTTGCAACAGCTTGTAAACTGTTTTTCTGATAACTGTTGCCAGTTGAGCGACGACGTCGACGTTTCTTGTTACAACCTTCTTCGTGACAAAATTCTGTTTGACCATGACCGTTTACACAAGTACCACACATTTCGTCCAGAATTTGTCTGGTCACCATAAAGAAGATTCCTCCAGGTGACTCAGGGTTGGAAGTGTTGGTATAAGGAGGGAGAACCCACCAATTGGAACGAAGATATTTTGGACAACGACATGTTGCTGAAAAATGTAGAATGCATCCCACGTTTAGTAGAATTAAACTAGGAGAACCCGTCATATAGCCTAAATGTAGATGAGACCCTTAACTAACCTCTATGCCATAAGTGCACAGCTTACCTTGCCTGCTTTTGTATGTGCAATATTTGGTCATTGTGAGAGGAAATGTAATATACCTTAAAAACTCATTAATAATTCATGAGGAAAATACAAAAGAAACGAATGTTTAATCAATGTTTGTAAATCGGATAAAGATTTGTCCTGATTTACATAAACTTCAGCTTTGATTTTCTCGGCTTAGACAATGTTTATTTTTAAAATTACTTCGCTAATGAACTCATAAGATGGGTCGTTTTTAAGCACGTTAAAACATTCGCATCCGATCTTTATCTGACATACAGCTGCTCATGTTTTAACTAGTATTTAATAGTCAAACACCTCATCATCACATGATCAACTTTTTCACTGTCAAAGTTTCCTTACATAATGTTATTAGATGAATTGCGAATTAGTTTTTCTTCATTTGCTTCAAACACTGACTCATTAATAATTCATAAGCTTATTGGTAAATCATGTCAACCATAATATGTCACGTGCAGTGGCTTTAAACCTGATAAAACACTCCTAATTAGTATTCTTTATATAAAGAATACTAATAAGGCAGTATCTATTGTAGTCGTGTCCTCATTGGTATTCTTTATATAAAGAATAATAATAAGGCAGTATATCTATTGAATTTGTAGTCGTGTTTGAAGCCGTTTAATAAACTCGCAGGTCGTGTTTTATTAGGTCTAAAGCAGGGCGCTTATATATATATAAGCGCTCTGGTCTAAAGCCACTCGCGCTGCGCGCTCGTGTCTTTAAACCTAATAAAACACTCCTGCTCGTTTATTAAACAGTACTTCAAGAATTCATCTAATGACTTCACATCTGCCACATGTGACAGTGGGAAAGTTTGCCATAGAAATACAGTAAACCTCCTCTTAGAAAGACCCAAATCTTACAGATAGAAAAAATCATATTTGGGTTTAGTGGCAGTGTCAACCAGGAGTCTTCGACAAGTAAAACTATAAACAAAAACTAAAAAGTATGTTCGGTTTTTTTTCGAGTGAGGCCAAAACTGCGGCTGTTTAAAATAGATTTTAAAAACACTTTAAAAAAGGTCTTTATTGTCTATAAGTATCTAAGCTTTCGTCGTCAACGACATCATCAGAGATGAAAAAAAATGAGTAAAAAGTCAAAAATGACGATGATTTAAAACAAACTCACCACCAACTGTAGCGTTACTCTTTGTGCCATTCTTAATAGTATACCCATAAACTTTAAACTGATACGTCGATCCTGGATCAAGATTTTTAACAGTGGTTGAATAACGATTTCCTCGTACTCTCATCGACTGAACAACACGTTTCTCTGTGAGCACAGGCTCTCCAGCTAAAACTGTCGCAGTATATTCAATATAATAACCGCGCAGAATGCCATTATGATATTCAGGAGGAATTCTTTCCCATTCTAACTTTATCTCAGAAATATGTTCAAGTGTTGAAACTCTGATGTTGTCTGGAGGAACTTCCGGGCCTGAAGAAAAGTACAAAACTCTTATCAAAACAGTGTTTTTCAACAGTAATAATAAACATTTTGGCTTACCGTCTTCTCCAGTGGAATATATGTGTCCAGGTTCGTAAATAGGACCTTGTCCTTTCGAGTTACTAGCACTGACCCACATTGTGTAATTAGTATATTTCTTCAATCCTTCCATGTAATAAGATCGTTCATATGCAGCAAGTGTGGTATTAATAATGACATTACTGAGGTCATCAGTTTCACGAACAGTTAATTGATAACTAAGCATTACACCGTGTGCAAAACCTGCTAGAATAGGGTCCCATTCAAACAACATACTTGTAGTTGTTAGAGCATTACCACGAATGTTTTCTGGATAACGACTTGGAACTAAAAGGAAAAAGAAGAGTATATGGGAGGAGTGTTCCAGTTGGACTCCGCAGGTTTTCTAGTCAGACTGGATTAGCAAGAGTTGGGGAGACTTGTGGGGAGACCAGTTTAGAACTGGTGGATTATACAAGCCAAATAGAGACAAAGTTCCACTAACTTTCTTCATCAGTTTGTACAGTAATATTTGATGTGACTCCAGTTCCAATTCTTGTATAGCCTGCAATACGTATTTCATACCACCACCACCAGAAGAGATCAGTGAATTCATATTCAAGAATGCCAGGATTAGATATTTCTATCATTTTTTCTTTTATCTTCGTGTTTGAAGGACGATAAAAAACCCGATAACCCAGAAGAACGCCGCGTTGATCTAGTGCATCGATAACTTCCCATTGTAGAAATATCTTGGTTGAACTTTTGTTGTATGCTTCTACAATTACCGGGCCTACTGCAGGAGCTAGATAAATAAATATATGGTATGGTAAGGTAAGGTAAGGTAACGTAGGGTTCAGTATGGTTTGGTACAGCATGGTATGGAAAGGTAAGATAAAGCATTATAAGAATCATTCCTACGTTAAAGTAAATCTTACTTGATTCATCAGTAGTGGCTGTGACCACGGCACTTGCAGGACCATCACCAGCGCCTGTATAGGCTACAACTTCCATTTTATAGTCTGTGAGGAACTTCAGTCTTGAAATTTCAATTTCTCGAGCACTGCTATCAGGAACATTGACTGTTTCTTTCTGCTCCATGCCAGTCCAATAATTCACTTTGTATCCTAGTATGATCCCATTTCGTTCCTCAGGTCTCACTTCACCCCATTTAACAAGAATCCCAACAGTTTTGGTTCCAGTACTTTCAGCAGAGACATTCTGAGGTGGCCCACTTGGAGCTGGAAGAAGGTTGATGAGTTTAAATGGCGATAAACTACTATCTTATATATAACTACGACAGTTTCAAATATTGCATTCTTACCATCTTCCATTGTAACATGACTAGTCCTGTCTTGCGCTCCACACCCAGCGCCAGTCTTGGCTGACACTTGGACATAATATCGCGTATAAGGTTTAAGAGAAGTGATATTTGCACTTAATTGAGAAGGATCTTGTATCTCTTGGGTATCACTTTGAGATGAACCTCTCGCCTGATACGTCACGCAGTAACCACGTGGCACACCATGCCACGAGCCATTGTCTATCGCTGTCCATATTAACATCAATGATCTTGAAGTAAGTGACGTGATATTTTTTATCAACGGAGAAGAACTGGGCACTAGGAGAAAACAAAGTAATGAATTGAAACTTCTGGCAACTTGCATAACAACAACCTTATAATTTGTACACAACATAAACTCTAACCTTAATCCAACTAAACTCTAATCCCATAGCAACATATATAAGTTAATCCTGATTTAATCCTTAATCCTAATCTAAATCCTTACCATCTTCCAATGTTGTGTTTTCAAAAGGTAAGCTTGGCACTCCATTTCCATTTTCTGAATATGGACAAACTACAATTTTATATTGTGTAAACTTCTTAAGACTTTCCAATGTTTTTGTAACGAAACTTGGTTGTACTGCAATCTTACTGTAACTTTCGGCTGTACTTTCTTTATAAAATACAATGTAACCACTGAGGGCTTTTGTTTGTGCTGTTTCAACTCCAGATGGTAAAGCATCCCATTCCACATTAATACTGGTTGAACTAGGAGATGTTGATCTCGCTTGCAGTGGCGATGATATGACTAAAACAGACAGTAATTATTTAACTTTCCAATTATTTTCACAATACAAAATAAAGCTAAAATCAACAGCAATATAACCTTACCATTTTCTGATGTCATACTATGCAGAGTAGTTTGTGTAGTTGGATGAAGTAGTTTATCTTGAAGAAGAACTAACTCTACATCTGCAAGGGACTGGTAGTTCACATTGATTGAGCATCGCACTTTATCAGCAGCGTCACGGCTAGTAAAAAATACGAAATAACAATTTAGTACCAAGTACATTCTCTGTAAACTAAAATAATAAACTATCTTTAATACTTAGTACGTACTCGCATGATAAGAAGCTCACTCCAGGTGGAAATGAAGAATAAGGAGATCTTATCTAAAATACAGAAAATGTAATGCTTCATACAACCATCATTCTGTACTTGACTCCTTCAAAGTAACCACAAATCCACAATCAAACTAGATTTGTGTATTATAAACCTCTCCGGTATAATATACAATTCTCATACTTACAAGTGTTTGAACATCCGTTTGAAAAGATACGATATCTGACGAATATTCTTGCCACGAAACACTCAGGAACGTTACATCGAGCACGACGTCAACAGCTGAAAAATGTACCACACTACAATTACATTTGGTCAAGTTATGTATACATTATTGCACCACGAGGTTATGTTGTCACCTGCGTTTGTGTGTGTGAGTACGATAACTCCAACGTTATACGAGAAGGGGCTACTAGAAATAGTCCAAGATTCCAAGGAGAAATCAATTCAATTTTGGCTCAATTTAGATGAAAATTGGATGAGAAAAAGTAAACTGAATACGTAATCAGTACATTGCATAATTTATGCATGATCAGGGCATCTTGTAACTATATAACTACTGGGGCATTTACCCCAGTAGGCCCTTTGCTTGCCCCAGTAGTGAAGCAATATTTTCACATGAGCTGGGCCCTTTTGATCATCAGTAAAAAGTCATCCTTGTTGAAAAAGCTGCATCTGCTTGCTTTCTCATATCCTCTCACATTCTCGACATTCCATCTTACAAAAGTCAGCATAGCATGATATTTATGTAGTACGCGTAACTGTGTGGGGAAAAGGCCCTCATTGAGATTTATAGCCTCAGTAGTTGTAATTTCTTAAAATGCCCTGTGCATGATACGTGACATAATTTGCAGGCGAAGAAATGTAGCCTCTGGGTCCTCCTAGTTTTTTTAATATAACTGTTCTCAGGGATGGATCCAGCATGAGATGGTAGGGGGGGGGGGGTGTTCTCTAATAGAACCCCCCAGTAAATCCATCTCTGACTATTCTTGTACATATGAAACACTATCGTCTGAGGAACCTGTGATCAATGCAATGATAATATCGATAATCCTGGTAGTTTTGGTTTAAATAAAATATCACTAGGGGACTCACCCACACAAGGCTGTGTGTTACATTCATTCCACTGCAATGTTTCTCCCGTACAGTTTCTTCCACCATACATCGGTGTCGGGTTCGTACATGTTCGTCGTCTGTCGGAAACACCACTGCTACATGGTTTGTTACAATACGTCCAGGAACTCCAGAGTGTAAGTCCTCCATCAACTGAAATTAATGAATGAACACACATTAAAGGCTGTTCTATTTAGATGAAACATAACTGGGGCTCGAATTTGATAAGGGATTTACAAAAGCACCAACTTGAAAGGGCTACGCATTCAATTCTTGACATCTTCACAAGTTGAGTGTCTACAGCAGGGTAGGGCCCGGGGTAGGTTTTCACTCTGCTTCAACATCTTCAAGGCACTGTCTACATTGGTTTAACTTACTAGGGCAAGGATCGACATTACAATGTTGTACTTCAGTTGTATCACCCTCGCAGTCTTGACCGCCATATTGTGCTCTAGGACTGGTACAAGCTCTTCCTCGAACTCGAGTTCCGTTGCCACACTCCAGTGTACATTGAGTCCAGCTCGTCCATTCAGCCCAGTTACCATGAACTAGGAGAAAGAATACTCATGACGTTATTGCTCCACAAGACGAAAAACTCTTGGGAAAGATAGCTATATCCCCATTCAAATATGAAGATTCCTAAGCCTGGTTTTACACTATCAAAGTTTCTGTGATCACAGTAGGAATTTTGCAGCAAAGGGAAATTCTAAGTTTTGAAGGATTTGTAAGAAATGTTCGAGTGAACTGACCCAATTTTAAACAACTTCACAACCTATTGTGATCACAGAAACTTTGATAGTGCAAACCAGCGTTTATCTTACTTGGACAGAAATGAGTGTTGCATTCTTCTGTTTCATTCTTTACACCCGCACATGAAGGCCAGCCGTGAGCGGGAGGTGGGTTGTTACATAGTCTGAAACGTTGTTGATTCCCCCCGCCACAACTCTCTGTACACACTGTCCACCAAGACCAATCTGACCATTGAGCCGGGGGTGGGTCTAAGGAAAACATGAAGAGTGACATAGTGGTAAGTGCATGTGCCCTTAGCCTACGAGCGGCGTGGGGGGGAGGGAGGGAGGAAGCCTGCAATATTCAGTTGTGAGACTCTACAGAGCATTTCACGTTTTTCTCTGTGTATACTCCATTTCCCCCCGTAGTAATACTGGATCAGCAAGGGATGACCCTCACTCAACGAAGCCCTCATTGGACCGTCTAAGGAGAACAGTTTAGAACTACTAGAACTACTTTGTCTAAATAAAGCTAGTTTAGGTTTGCAGCTTATCGACGAAACCAATTATAGTTTCGAACTAAACATAGCAGTTTTTCAAGACGAATTATGGTTCATATTTGAAAGAACTTCATTGGCTTCCTATACAAAGCCGTATCCAATTTAAACTTGGGTTAATAGTATTTAAAGCTTTAAATAATTTGGCTCCATCCTATCTTCAAAACCTTCTGAAAATACATCAGCCTTCGCGGTGTTTAAGATCTGCTTCTAAAAATTTGCTTCAAGAACCAAGGACAATCACGAAAACATATGGCGATAGAACATTTAGGAAGGCTGGATCGGCGTTTTGGAATAGCCTGCCTGATTAAATTGAGACTAGAGACATCTGTTGATATTTTTAAAAATGAACTTAAGACTCTTCTTTTTAACCAAGCTTACAGTTAGCTCTTAGTATTCGCAAATTTTTAACTATATAATCTAATATATACTGTATTAATAAGTAATACCATTGTAATGAGCATTGAGAAATTTTTGTAAATGCGAACTGAAGAATTAAATTATTATTATTATTATAATTTACCTGGACAAGGGACATAGTCGTACTCATTACATGGCATCACTTCAATATCATGACCAGAACAGTAAAGTCCTCCATTCCTCTGATTCTCACAAACTCTCGTTCTCGTTTCTTTTTGTTCACCACATGTTTTACTGCACAATGACCACGGAGTCCACTGCGACCATGAGCCGTCAACTAGAAATAGTAAATAGTGAATATTAACTCCGGTGTGCAATTGGAGTCGACTTATTTGATGAATAATAATACACATGAAAAAAATCGATTCTTCAGGAGTACAATGTTATCGAAATGGAGTATCAAAGAAATAAACACAATGCCGAAAAGAAAAAAACAAATTGGTCTGGGAGCCTCACTTTCGCGAATGAAGACGAAAGACTATTCGCCTAAGTTACAAGAGAACGAGGCTCCAGGCCCAAGGTGGGATTTGTGACGTCATTATCCAAAGGTTGTATTGGCTGTTGGAAACAGCTCCACTTACCAGGACATGCTTCAGTATTGCATTCGATAGTAACATTTGTTAAGCTAACGCATTGGCCACTGTCATCAACCTGACATGCTCTTGTTTTATAAGCAACACCCTCGCAATCAGACGAACAATCCGACCAGTCTGCCCAGGATGTGAAATAACCATCATCTAGAATTAAAAAAAAAATACATAATGATGCCCCGGTGAGTACAAATAAGAGTACGAGTAAAGGTCGATATACACTACAAAACTTTTGCCTAAAACTGTCGCATGCAACCTGCTTACAACTTGAGTTGTACTGTGTAAATCAAGCACATGACTTGCTTACGTCGTCGTAGGTGAGTTGTGTGTTTGATTTACACAGTGCAACTCAAGTTGTAAGCAGGTTGCATGCGACAGTTTTAGGCAAAAATTGTGTATTGTGTAAATCGGCCTTTAAACATCTAGAAAAAATTCCAGGGTAGTTTACCTGGGCAGTCAGGCATATTTTCACATTCCTTCATTTGATGGAGTGGTCCAAGACAGTCGCTGCCACCAAATATTGGCGGAGGATTGGTACAATTACGATATCTTGTGCGTGTTCCAACACCGCACGATGTTGTACATGCTGACCAGTCTGTCCACGGAGTGAAGTTGCCGTTCACTGAAATGATAAAAGATTTTATTAAACTGACGAGCATAAAAGATGTGAAATTAAAAGTTATGTGTCTTTTCTTATGTTCCTAAACATGTTAAATTCTACGATGTTTTAAAAATTGCTTAAAGGCTGGTTTACACTATCAAAGTTTCTGATTTTGCTTTGTGGTTAAGTTCTAAGTTTTGAAGGATTTGCAAAAAATGTTTGAGAGAACTGACTCACTGTTGAACACTGATACACTTCCCTCAAACATTTCTTACAAATCTTTCAATTTCCAAATGTTTGGGTGGATAAAAAGTAAGCTATTTACCTGTTTAATTCGGGGTTTTTCTTTTTATTATATAAAACAAATAGATAAGATTTTGCCGCTGTCTGTTCAGTTATAGATACAAAGTATGACATTATAATGTGGAAAGAACGAAGAAGTGAGCCACTTGCCTCGGCGGCTCGTGAGCCAGTTTTTTTGTTCTCCCTACATTATGACGTTATACTGTCTATCTATAATTGAACAGACAACGGGAAAATCTGATCTATTTGTTAAATAGTACACACATTGTCCCAGATCAGTCTACTAAACAAATGTAATTTTAAAAACAAATCATGTCCTCACCCACACAGGGTTCGTTATAACAAGCAATAAACTGCTCGGTAGGAAGTGTACAATATGGATCTCCACTTGGAGGATATGTAGGTACAACTTTACAATAACGGGATCTTTGACGTGTCCCCTCACCACACGTGACATTACATGCTCCCCAGTTCCCCCACTCTGAAAATTCATCATCGCCTAAAATATAATGGTGATTTAAATAATCACTTGCATATAAATTGCCATGTTGACGACTTTTCAGTACACATTGAAATCTTGACAATTTTTCAGAAGACATGCAATACAACAAGTATATTTCTTTATTCATACCTGGACAAATATTTGGCAAGGTGCAATCATCATACGCATCAGCATTTCCAAAACATGGTAGACCACCATAGGAAGGTACAGGGTGAGTACATGTACGATGACGTGATTTTGAACCAGAACCACAAGATGCACTACAGACACTCCAAACTGACCACTCACACCAGTCGCCATGAACTAAAGAAAAATATCATTTTTTCAGTTACTGAATGAAGACCTTTTGTGGACCTCGTCTCAAAGACTAAGTACACCTCGAGTCTTACGTTTGTACCAGCTCAAGTGCGCGGCAATAGCCAGTGGCGTGGCAGTGAAGTAGGGCTGAAAATCTTGATTTATACCTCTATGTTCTAACCATTACGAAAGAGTTGGAGCGTCATGCTAAATAATAAAGTACAGTATACATACTAGGACACTGTCCTTTGTCACAAGGTTTGCTCTGAGTAGAAGGATCAGAACATTCCTCAGGTTGTGCATCTTCTTTACAAGTTCTTCTTCTTATCTGTGTACTGTTTCCACATGTCTGAGTACACAATGTCCATTGAGACCATTCACCATAACCACTTTCACCTGAACAGATGTTTGAATGTTGACAATCTTGAGTTTCGTCACTGCTCCCTGAACATCCAGCACCATTAAAAGCAGGTTCGGGATCACTGCAGGTTCTCGTACAACTTTGAAGACCAGAGCCACAGTATCCACTACATGGAGACCACGGCGTCCACTCCGAATATCCACCATGGACTGAAAAGAAAACAATGATTCTCAAACTTAATAATTGATGAGCAAAACTCACAGATAGCGTTCATAAAATATTTATACCAATTTATCCCAATCTGACACCTCACCCTAGCTAAAATCCAAATCCTCACTGAAGTCCTAACCCAAATCCTAAACCTAATACTTGCCACTTCGGCAAATTGATACAGTATGGAAAGTAACAATTATGCACCCACTTTTACCCTTCCTTCTCTCCACAAAAAAGTCTGAGAATTCATCCCTAAATTAAATACCCGAGTAATACATCAACATACCTGGACATGGCCCAGCATAACACGTGTTGTTTTGTTTATGTGTTCCATTACAAGTTTCCAAAGTAGGATCCAAACATTCTCTTGTTCTAAACGTTTGTCCATCTGCACATTCCACATTGCAAGCTGTCCATAACGACCAAATTGTAAAACCTGCTTCATCTAAAAGAACAATATATTATGTTTATACTAGTTGTAACACAATAGGTATGTGCCGGTTACCAGAATCCGATATCCTGCAAAACATAGACATCCAGCACTGTTCGGTATATATTTGCCGGATATTTAACTGGATAGCACAGGAACTTTTATTATAACCATAAAACCGCCTGTTTCGCGTTAAAATATTGTGAAACACCGGACATGTGACGCATTAAAATGAAATGTAAACTGTGCTCTGCGGTATATCGTCTGACGATCCTTGTGCCAGATACTACTTTATGACAGTTAGTGACGTATTGTCCAAATACCACCACCAGAAATATACCTTGACAGGAGGTTGGCATGGAGCATTCTTTAGCTTCCACAGTCAACCCAAAACAATCACTACCATTGTTGGCTGGTTCAGGATTGCTACATTCTCGTGTTCGTTGTATTGTACCAGAGCCACACGTGACTGTACATATTGACCAATCACTCCACTCGGTGAAACCACCATTAACTAGAAAAAGGGGAAAGCAGTAGGATTCAATGGTTGCCAAGTTCGTATCAAACATAAGTCTACCTAAACAACTTTCTCACATGTTCCATACATTAGATCGTCTATTATTTATTATATTTACTTCAGGCACATTGGGGTGCTTAATAGAGAAGGGAGATTATTTATTTAGGGAAAAAGGATTGGCTAAAATCTGACATAAACTTCCAGGATAATTAACACAATTAATCATCAGTACACATGTGTCCTTTCGTTGCGATGGCATAAAGCGTAAAACCTGAGATGGGGGTAATATATGACAAGAGTGGTTTACTGAAGGATCTGAGCTTAATAGAGCTGATTACGGTAGATGACCTTGAAACTCTGAAAAATACCTGGACATGGTGACAGTAAACATTCTTTAGTTTCAGAACTAGGTCCTGCGCAACCCTCGCCACTACTGCTTAAACAAAACCTTGTTTTTGTGTGGACACCAGCGCCACACGACACACTGCACACACTCCAACTGGACCACGTTGTGTAGTTGAGGCCACCAGGGCAATCAGGCATGATACAGTCCTGTATTCTTCTAGTTTCACCAGAACAATCATCTCCGCCATGTTGTGGAGCTGGGTTGCTGCAAGATCTTGTTTTCTCTTGCTGTCCAGAACCACACTCACTATCACATTCACTCCAATCTGTCCAGTTTGTGAGAGCTCCAGAAACTATAAACAAGTTGATAATATTGATTACAAATAAAGATGATAAGAATATGATAATTTGATTCTAAATTTTTGACTATAATGGAGGTGTAAGACCTCCTGAAACTATGCACAAGACGATGACTTGATTACATTCACTAATATCAGTTCACCATTTCACGGCCCGGTCAAACGAGAGTTGATAAGAGCTGGCTGGATATTCCTGGTCAAAACGAGCATAAACTCTCATCAAAATTGGAACCAGCTCAAAGTTGATGAGAGAGTGCATGGGAGTTGGTGGTGAGCGCGAGTTGGAACTCTCATCAACTCCCCGAACAAATTACATTACGACCCAACATTTCGACACTCGTAGCTCCTTATGCACTTACGGTTAGAATTACTCTTGTAGGAGAGAACTACACGATAATTGATTATCCCAATCCTTATAAAACACCAGTGTCATAATAGGTAATCACACTCTATATAAAACTTCATTACAATGTTCAATATATTTCACTTACTTGGGCATGGACGAACATTACAAACATCAGTTTGGTTTTTTTCACCACCACAAAAGTCAGGCCCTGAAATTTCACATTCCCTTGCTCGATTATGCAGACCATCTCCACATGTTGTAGTACAGGGACTCCAAGACGACCACAATGAAAAACCAAAGTCAACTGAAACAGAAGAGGAAGAGTGATTATATTTGACAAAGCCTCGTTCACATTAGTTAAACTGCAAAGTTGCTGTCGTTGTTGTCACTGTCGTTGTTGTTGTCGTCGTCGTCGTCGTCGTTGTTGTCGTTGTTGCTGTCGTCGTTCTTGTCACTTTCGTTGCTGTCGTCGTTGTTGTTGTCGTTGTTGCTTTCGTCGTTCTTGTCACTGTCGTTGCTGTCGCTGTTGTCGTTGCTGTCGCTGTTGTCGTTGCTCCAGCCGTCGTTGTTGTCACTGTCGTTGCTTTCGACGTCGTCGTTGTTGTTGTTGTCGTTACTGTCGCCGTCGTCGTCACTGTCGTCGTTGTTGTCACTGTCGTTGCTGTCGTCGTTGTTGTTGCCGCCGTCGTCGTCGTTGTTGTTGTTGCCGTCGTCGTTGATGTTGTTGTCGTCGTCGTTTTGTTGTTGTTGTCGTTTTGTTGTTGTTGTTGTTGTTGTCGTTACTGTCGCCGTCGTCGTCACTGTCGTCGTTGTTGTCACTGTTGTTGCCGTCGTCGTTGTTGTTGCCGCCGTCGTCGTCGTTGTTGTTGTTGCCGTCGTCGTTGATGTTGTTGTCGTCGTCGTTTTGTTGTTGTTGTCGTTTTGTTGTTGTTGTTGTTGTGTTGTTGTTGTTGTCGTTTTGTTGTTGCTGTTGTTGTCGTTGTTACTGTTACACGAGTCAACAACTTACCTGGACATATTACTTCTATAAAGCATTCTTTAGTCTCTGTCCCAGGCCCTTCACAATCAGCGCCACCATAAGCAGGTTTAGGCTCTGTACAATTTCTATGACGTAATTGTTGCCCAGGACCACACGACGTAGAACAAGTTGTCCAATTACTCCATGCTGTGTAACTACCATTTACTGTAAGTTGTACACACAACATGAGTGACACAAGATACACATCAAAATCTCACAACTTGTCAACAACATGTGTTTGCAACAGGCACAGTTAATATATTAACTGTGCAACAGGCTTGTAGCAAGCTTGTCACCAAGTTGTAACAACGCTGTTATTTTATCAAGTTGCTACAAGGTTGTCACTCACAACTTTTTGACAATAACAAGTTGTTGGAATTCAACAACCTTGTAGCAAGTTGTCAACAAGCTGGGAACAATCAATGCAAACACATCCTGTTGACAAGTTGTTGGAACAACATTGCTACAAGTCTGCTGCAGGTTTGTTACAACTGGTGTGTTTTTACCCAAGTACAAGAATTGTGTGCCTAGTGAATATATTGTTTTCTAACCTGGGCAATATTTGAGAAGACAAGGTTTTGTTTGTGTTGGTTCACCAAGACACCCTGCAGCTTCATTTTCACAAACTCGTGAACGAATTTGAACACCTTGATCACAAGTCATGTTGCATTCACTCCAGGACGACCAATCACCAAAATGTTCTTCTCCTATAAAAATAAACAATGAATGAATTATTTTGAATTAGAAGAGTCACGATCTTTCTCAACGGCCAAATCCCCTTCCAATCCTACACATCATCACTCCAAACATTCCTGAAAGATCCATATCTCTCCCCCCCCCCCCCCCCCCCAAAAACCCCACAATATCAGACCAATGGGGCGTGTGAACCAATTGAAAAATCTTTAACCATATGGTCGTAACAGTCGTAAAGATAGAGTCACAATCGTTCTAAACGGCAAGATTATAATAGTTTCCTCCCTATAAACCACATATAAATCGTAAGTATTCCCAATTTATAATCACTTAGCCTATTTTCAGTTCTCAAATATTGTATTTCGGCTGCTGATAAAGATCGTGACTCAATCTTTACAACCGTTACGACCATATGAAAAGCAAGCTTAAGAGCGAACCAAATTTCTGTCGAAAACAGTGCTATACCTGGACATAGTGTTGCCGCTTCACAATCCCCAATGTCATTGCCCACTCCTGGACAGTCATCACCACCATTTTGAGGTGGCGGATTAGCACAATCTCTGGTACGTTCATTATAACCTGGTCCACATGTGGCGCTACATGTACCCCAATCACCCCAATTTGTCCAGTTACCATGAACTATATAAGATGAAAGCAAGGTTTACATTCAGTCACCACATTTACGATTACCACACCACCACAATCATCACCACCATTTACCACTACCATCACCACCACCATCATCATCACAGACATCATTTAACACTATCATCGTCATCACCATCACGATCATCATCACCACCACCAGCATCATCACCGACATCATTTAACACTATCATCATCATCACCATCATCATCATCACCACCATTTAACACTATCATCACCATCATCATTATTATCACCATCACCACCACAATTACCTTAACCACCACAACTACCATCGCCGTCGCCATCACCATCATCGTCATCATCACCATGAACTCAGTTTAAGGTTACAGGAGACCCTACGCGCAGGTTTCGGGAGATTTACCATTACTCGGCGAATTTTTATCCAATTTCTCTCAAATTTTCTCCAAATATAGTCCGATAGATGAAAAAAAACATAGGGTTATAAAATATATCAGAAAGAAATAACTTTCCCGAATATTGTTACAAGTTTAAGTTTATGGG